ATCCCAAATCCCAAATACTAGTAATTTGGGATTTTGGCGTCCCAAATCCCAAATGATTTGGGATTTGGGCAACACGTATACTTTACAGTTAAGATTATTTAACGCTTGTTGATATTTCTTTTGCATGTCTTTCTTTTTGGGATGATCTTTTTTCATATGTATCTCCTATTCTTTACATTCTAACAATTGTTATTTTGCTTCTTCAAATTGTTATGAAATTTCTGGTGCTAGCTTAATAAAAGGCTTCTTACAAATATGATATTCTATTACTTCATTAAATACTGTATGATTTTCTGGTTCCATAATTATTTTCGCAAGTAATGATAAATTTGCTTGAATTTCTGCAAGCTCTTCTTCAAGCTTGTCAACAAATTTTTTTAAAACATTTGAACTCCTATATAAATAATGGCTCGTTATTTCATACTTATCAAAATTATCTATTCACACTACTATATAAAAAAAGTTATAAGGTTTATGCCTTTGGAGTTTTTTAGTACACGTTAATTGTGAATTTTCTTCTAGACTTAACTTTTCTGTTAAACATTCAAGATCTCAAAATATTTGATATAAATTTGATTGCATGTATTTATGATTACTAAAACTTTTATACTTTTTTCCAATGTGAAAACTTTTGATATTTGAGGAGTGTTATTTACTTCTAAAAATTTTTTTGGATTTGTTCTATATTCATTAAATCCTTTTTCTGCAAAATATATATAAAAGCAGAAATGACATATATATTTTCTTTCTTTGTGTTTACTATGATTGTAAACTAGTCTATGGGATCCTTGATTATACAATAATATGTTCAGGTATTTTCTAAATCATTGGCTTCTGAAATAACTAAAAGATTTACCTACTTAAATTCTGCATTTCTTCTTTCTGAAAGATAACAGAATTTAAGATATTTATTTTAATTATTTCATTTATAGATACATAGACTGATTTCAGAATTCTTTTCTTCGAATTTTTAATAAACAGGTGTTGAAATTGGTAATGTGAATTTCTTTTTGAATAAACTTTAACAAGATGTAATGTTCTTAAAACATATTATCCAAAACACCAGTCATTATTATTTTTCATATTGATAACACTATTATTTCATTTTGATATTGTTTTTGATAATGGTATATGGTATGCAGATCCAATTGGATTATAATTAGCTATCTCAATACTAAATTCTTCGATATGTTCTGGATATGCATCAGACATAATGTGATATGTGCATATAGTTTATATATATTACGTAAACTTTAGATCAATTTAAATTTTTTATTCGTTGTATATAAGTTATGTAAACTTTTGTTTAATTTAAAAATATTATTTGTTATATAAAAATGTCAGCAATATATACCTGTGACTATTTACATAACACTGGAGAAGTTTGTAGTGGGGCTAGTACTTGTTCTGAAAGTTGTCGACTTTATTATCGAGCTAAAAAGTGGTGTCGTGGGTGTTATTGTTAATATCCACTCAATGGTTCTTTTAAGGAGTTTATAGTCTTTCCTCATAGGTACAAGACTTCCAGTTTGGTTGTTCCTTGAATTTTAGAAGGTACCAGTTAGTTTTTAAATAGAACTAACAAACTAATATTTATCCACTGTAATCATAATATATCCATTTTAGTATTATATTTCTTAACTTCCAAACTTCCTTAATATTATATATTTATAGTTTTATCATAACATCCTTATTAATTTATCTCCACAATTTTATTATAACATCCTTATTAATTTATCTTCATAATTTTATCATAACATTCTTAAATATATCTTCCTAATTTTCTTTTATCATCTTTAGTATTGAATATATACTTTGTCATCAAACTTCCTTAATAATTATTAGGACAGAACAAATATAATTAATTATTAAATTAATTATATAACTTCTATTTAATATTCTCATTTCCACTTTATTATATTCAATAAGTTATTATTTATCAATTTGAATAATAAAATTATTATTTCACTTCCACTATGTAAATTTAAAGAGAATTTACATACATAAATTTATGTAAATAATTATATTTCTTCCTCTGAGAATTACAATCAATTAAAGTTATAAAATTATAAAATTAAAGAATGTAAAACTTCTGAAACTATTTGAGGTAAGGGGTATATTTATACTATTTTAACTACTGTGCCACAAAATACTATTTGCTAATGACTATAAATGATATAATACTAATAATATTAATATAATAACTATTACTAAATAATATTAAATATAAATAATAATAAATGTTAAGTAATACTAATTGGTGTTATGTGATTAACTAATATGTTTAAATATTAATAATAAGTTAAATAATTGTTTATCCTCTGTTATAATGTATTGATACTATATTAATATATTGAATAATTATAATGTTACATTTTATACCATAACAGTGCATAATAAAATTTACAAAATTAATTATTGAATACTTAGTAATAATCAATCATATCGGATACCTGATATATTTATTCTTCCCCAATAGGTGTCCGATAGGTGTCCGATAAATGTCCAATATTTAAATTTTGACCTGTGATATTGGGTACCTGATATATGTATGATTTATTAATTTTTGACCAGTGTTTATTAAACAGAATATTACATTTTTTGTAATATTTTATGTAATAAAAATTTTAAAAATTTACAAAAAGTTTTTTATAATATTCTGTAAAAATTTTTAAAGATTTATGAAAATTTATAGAAATTTATGCAAAAATTTATGAAAATTTTACACCTCATAAACTTACGGAGTTATTCGCCTTTAAAATTTCCTGATGACCTTAACTGTTAAGATCTACAAGTTTTATTTATCAAAATATTAATATTTACTATTGCAATTACACAAATTACAAAGATATTCATGTCCACTATTACAATTATACAAATTGCAAAAATAATATAAAATATCAAATAATTAATCTTATTCTTATTAAACTTAACAAAGAGAATCTTGAAAAGAATCATTAAGAGAATAATTAACTACTTAAATTAATTAATTATTTTTTTATATTTCTTATTAAAATAATAATATATTAAGAAACTATTTTCTATTTTAAGAGATTTCTCACCAGTTAAAGAATTATCTGTTGTCCATATAATAATATCAATGGATAGAAGAACTTGTGCTTATACAGAGTTTCTTACTTCATTTATACATATACTGATTAAAAATTCATAAATATTATATCTATCGGATACCAGATAAATATGGTATTTATGAATTTTCAACCAGTAATAACTGTTATTATTATTATTAACAATAACAATATTACTATTATTGTTGTAACCAACAATATCATTATCTACAACAACAACAAAATACATTTAATAATCAAGAATCACAAGTTCTTAGGAATACTGTTATTATGTTATTCCAACAAATTAATAATTTATAAAATAATAATTATATGGATATATCAAAAAGAATTAGATTTCCTTTTGATAATGATAATGTCATTGTTATTGTTAATAATAGTAATAAAAATAATAATAATAGAAATAATAATAATAGAAATAATAATAATACATATGCCAAGATGATAATAATACATATATCAAATGATTAAAAAATCAACAAAATTCTTGATATAAATAGGTTTAGCCTATTTGTATATTATCTACAAATCTTCCTGTCTATTTGCATATGATTCACAAATCTCCTGCCTATTTGTGCTAAAAATTTTGTTTTTTTTTCATTCAACCAGTGACAACCTAAGGAAGAATTTATATCAAATGATTAAAATACTATTTTTTAAATTTATAAACTTTGAGTTAAAAATTATGATCTTAATTCTTGAGTTAAAAAAAAATATGATTTGACTCATTAGTTGAATTGGGTTAACCTAATTTTTGGAACACTACTTACACAATAACAGTCTTCATTAAACATCAGAAAATTATTAAAATTGTTTCATTAATAATATAAAATATATTTTATTTACACTGTCAATTGGAAAACCTTAAAAATATTTATCCTGCTGTTTGCATTATACTTCCATTTAAGCTTCATTCTTGGAATGTATGTATTATTTTGAAAATTTATCTACAAACAATCTAAATACGTATTCTTAACCATATAATGATATTAATAAGATAATCATAATGAGAATGATGGTAACAAAGATGAAAATAATAATAATAATAACTTAGGTTTAAGGTCTAAATTACAGAATTAAAATTTTAAGGAGAATTATGGAAAGTTTGTCAAGAAAAGAAAAGAAAAGTGAAAGACGAAAGTGAACTACTTAGAAATATGAAAATTTGTGAAAAACTGGATGAAAATCGCAATTGATAGACTGACGATTTCTATCACTACCTTTTAAAATAAAATATTTTATTCATAAAAAGAATTTTATTCATTCTCTGTTTCAATTTTCGTTTGAAATATGCATTATATATTTGTTGAAGGTAATTATTATTAAACGAATTAAATTCCTTTTTTAATGATTTAATTTATCACTATAAAAATAATTTGTACCCCAACCATTTTGAAATTGGTTTAACATTAAAACGAAGGACTATTACAGACTATTATAGCGGAGATTAATAGCATTTTAAGAAATAAGATTGATTGTGTAACGATAAAATTAGGGTTGTCACGTAAAATCGTTCTAAATTATTTTATTCTATATTTGGTGAACGTTTTCTGAAATTATACACATGAAAATAAAATCTAAAAAATGTTTTCTTTTTGTAAAATTTATCGATTCATCGAAAATACTGTCTTTTTCTTTAAATGATAATTTTATTGTAGAATTCTTTGAATTCTTTTTCATTATTCTTTTTTTTTTCTTTATATTTATCAATTTTTTTTTCTTTTTTTCTAGTTTTTTAATTTCTGATTTATTGAATTATTAAAAATTATCTCTTCTTTTTTTTTCCAATTTTTCTTTTTTTTTTAAAAAAAAATAATTTATAAGAAAATTTATACGAATTTTATTTTATTTATTAAGATTTATTATAATTAAAGAAAACAGACTGGATAATAATTATTCAGAAAATTGATAATGATCCTGATTTCTTCATCTTCTTTCGTTGGTGAGTAAAAGAAAATAATAATAATAAATATTATAATAATTAATTAATTAAATAATAATATAATTTATATTTTCACAACTAAAATTTAGAGAGAGTGGTGATCGAATTATATGTATATTTATGGTTTCTTCAACGAATATGGGTAACCGATAAATTCGAACATTTAGAATGGAAACGATTGAAAAATCTTGAAATAAAATCTTTAATTACATTATTGCTTACGATTATTATGCCTATTCAATTAGTAAGTTTTAATGATATTTCTTTTTTCTATTTATTTAATTTTAATTTTAATTTATTTTTATTTTTAATTATTTAGACATTTGATATTATATATACTATATTAAAATATCAAGAAGGTAAAAAATATTTATAATATTATCAATAATTTCATATTTCTTTTCATTCATTCATTCATTCATTCATTCACATCGCTCTCTCTTCTCTTCTAGGTTTTGTGGTGATTGATGGCGATAATTACTGCGCAAGCTTAAGTGATGGTTATGATTATAACAATGATATTAAATTGACAGAAAAGCCTTATGAATGTTGGTCACATAAAGATAGTGTCATTAAAAATATTTCGGAATACTTACTATGTATTAATTTTTCTTTTCAAACGTAAGTTTTTTTTTTTTATTCAATTATCTGATAATTGAAATAATTTTTTTAGTAAGTTTATTGATTTTCTTTATTCTTATGATTCTCGAATTGTATAAATCGTGTAAATCATATATAATAATAATAATAATAATAATAATTAATAATATAGAGGTACATTATTTTTAATTCAATTATTCTGGGGACATCTAGCAAATCAATGGGATGGGAAACCATTTATGGTTTCTTTGGAATTTAAAATTTACATCGCTTGGGGTTTACTATCCACGATTTTATTTCCCCTTGCTCGAGGACTTTCTAAATCACCTTATTCTGAGGTAAATTTATTATTTATTGATTCATCAATTAATTTTTCTATCCATTATTTAACTTTCTATTCATTCTATTCATTCTATTTATAGGTTATCCCCCAAATGCTATTTGCTTTTGAATTGATGATTATTTTTTTGCTTGGGGTAATTTAAAAAATTTATATTATAGATAGCAGCATTGAAGAAGAATTTATATTATTTATATATATTTATTTATTAACATTAATTATTATCTTTTTATTTTTAGTTAAGAAATAGTCGAAAATTTTTATCTCTTCTTAAAATTTTTCAACGTCAAGAGTTTCTTAATAAAGAAACAATTCTTAGAATACGTTATTTTCATGAAATGAATATGTTATTATCGGCTGGTGCCATCTTAATGAGTATTTCAATTATATTAATTGGAATAGAAACTTTTAACAACAAAGAATCAAAATTCTGGAATGACTTTTTAATAATACACTTTAATTTAGGTGGTTTTTTGGTATTGGTAATAATGATATTAATTATTTATCCCAGATATTATATAACTGGATTATATGGTAGTAAAGCATTAAGCGAAAACTCTTTAAGTAGAATAAGTCGAGTGACAATTAATGATAATTCATATGATGAAGGAGAGAATATTTATGGAAAAAATGCTTTTGGTACTATGAGAAATCGAACAAGTAGTTATAGAAATAGTTCAATAAATAGTTATGGAAATAGTTTAAGAAATAGTTATAGAGAAGAATCTAGTTCTAGAAGTAGTTATCGTCGAAATAGTTATCTAAATGTTGCTAGAAGAAATAGAAGTAGTTATAGAGGTAGTCGAGATAGTCGAGATAGTAATTCATCAGGAGATTTGATAACAAAATCAGTATCAGAGTTATTGAAAGAACAAAAAAAACAAATTGAAACATTTAGACGTAATTTAAATCAAAAGTGGCCAACGACATATAATATAAATGACTATTATATTGATAATATTAATGAAGAAGAAATTAAAGAAAAATCAAGTGGTGATCAAATATCACAATTACCTTTTCCAAGAAGACCTTCACTACCTACAATTTCAGTTTCATATTCATTACCTCCTCAATTATATACGAGAAGACCTTCGCTACCTACAAATTTAGGTTCATATTCATTTCCTTCTCCTCCGAAAACGAGGAGGAAAATTTGGAAATTTAAGTAGATGTGATTTTTTTTTTTAAAAAAAAATTATTTTCCAATTTTCCAATTCTAATAATTCTACAATTCTAATAATTAGTCTAATAATCATTTTCTATAGTTAATAATTAATTAATTAGTTTTCCTGTCAAGTGTGTGAAATATGTGAATAAATAAAATATAATAATTTTTTTTTGATGTTTCCTCTTTAAGCGACGGATTATATAATAGACCAACGTGATCTTGTTATTTAAATATATAAAATGACAAAATGCAAATATAAAAAATAAACTGGCTAAGCTGATTATCAAAACTATGATCTGACCAATCGCTGTCGAAAGGCTAAACCCGTCGAGGAATAAGTTATAAAAAAATAATAGAGCAAAACTTTTAATTAAAAACCTCAAAATAACCCAACAAAAAAATCACAATCAACTTTATTATGACTCCAGACACATCTTATTTTGGCAATATATGATAGTAATTTATATATATATATATATATATATATATTTATCTGTTATGATAAGAGTTTATACATTTTATATTTTTCGTAAATTAAATAAATAAATAAATTAAACATTTAAAATAAATAAATTAAATAAATAAATTAAATGATGATGATTAAATGATGATTTATGATTTTGTAACACAATAATTTATAAGATTTATTGGAGTGTAACTTTAACTTGTTTTTCGATCTAAATAAAGTATCTGTTCCTTTTGGGTTAAAAAGCATCGACTCATTCTTTCTTTATTATAATAACTTTCTTTCTTTATACTTTTGAGACGAACTGTGAATTCTATTTGATTAGTCAATTGCCTACTTTCGAGTAGTGCGACATTATCATATTATATATATATCTTTATTTTTTTCTTTAAAAAATAGATTTTAATTCATAATTTTTTTTTTCCTTTTTTTCCTTTCTTTCTTTTTTTTTTTTTTTTTTTTTTAAAAAAAAAAAAATTCCTTCTCTTTAGATTTTACAATGTCAAGAAATAATTCAAGAAATTCTTTTATACCTTCTAATCGAGGGGAGTTCGAATACAATCTTACCAATGAAAACAATCTTTCCTCAACAAATAAAATACGTGATTCAGTTTCATCTTCGTCCGAAATATCTAATATATATAGTATTCAAACAAATTCACCTACTACACCTACTTCACCTAATAGTCTTAGTCCAAGTTCTCTAAGAAGCTCCAAACAAAATTTTTTCTCTTTATTTAAAAAGAAGGATAACACTACTGTTAATAATGGTTCTACAAATCGACTTTCTGCACCACCTCAACAACAAGTGGTTCCTGCACTTAATCATTATGAAAATAATTATCACGTATCACAATCACCAATTGGTAGTATTAGTGTACCTGATTTTACTGCATTAAATACTAACACTAATGAATTGGATGAAGAAGAATGTTGCGATACAGATACAATTATGAAGGAACAAGCCAGCAGTAGTGGTAACAGCAGTAACGGAGGATCCATTAATAATATTCATGATGGAACAAATGGAAACAATGTTGCGAGTGGAAAATCAACCAAAAAATATAGCAAAAGAAAAGATAGTTTAGTTTCTCAAAAATCAAATAAAGACGATTTAGGATTTAAGGTATGATTTTGATTTTTTACTCTTTTTTTTTTTTTTTTCTTCATTTTCTTTTCTTTTTTTCTGTTAAATAGATTTTAATAGATCAATATATTTAATATATGTTTAAAAATATGTTTAAAAATATGTTTAATATATGTTTAATTATATGTTTAAAAATATGTTTAAATATATATTTGAATATGTTTAATATGTTAATACAAACAATTGAAATTACACATGTGAATGTTCTTACTTTCCCATATTTTTCTTTACCCATTTTTAAATTTTCCATTTTTTCTTTCTTTAATTTATATTAGATTACTATGAAAAACACTATGAGAAAAACTTCAACTTTTTTCAAAAAATTCGGTAACAAGGTGAACACTATTTTCTAATATCACCTATTTTTTATATATAGAAATTATATGATTTTATTTTATAATTTACCTATTTTTTTTTTTTTTTAATTCAGCAAAATCCCGATAATAATAATAATTCATCTACACACATTAGTCGTTCTCCTCTTCCCGAATTTCATGATTCTCAAAATTTATCTCCTCCTTCCATTTCCACTTCCACCTCCAATAATCCATTGTCATCACCAACTTCTTCTTCCCCAAATAATACTCCTAATGATCTTTCCATCCCTGCACAATTCTTAGTTTCTACGTCTTTCCATGATAAATTTTCAGATGATATTTTTACAGAAAATAATAATGATTCTGATGACGGATTATATAAGTTAAATACGAATAAAAGTGTTCCGGATAATATTGGAAGAAATCGGAGTTTACAGTCGTCCAAAAGTATAACGAATGAACAATTTTCCTTTAATTATGATGATGATGATGATGATAATTATAATAAGAGGACTAGTGCAAGTACTTTTATGAGCTTACCTGTAATAAGAAGTGAAAAGAAAAAAGTGGAATCTAAATTAAACTTAGATAGTTTATTATCCACTGGTTTAACACGTGTTAAGGAGGAAGATGAAGATAATAATTCGGTTAATTCAAAATCTAGAAAATCAACTATAAATAAAAATATAAGTAATAAAAGTGTGAATATGTGTGAGTACGAATTTATCAATCTTTATTTTTATTTTTATTTTTTTCGTTATTTATTCTTCTTATAGCTATTTTACTATTTACTTTTTTATTTTATAATTACTTTTAATAATAATAATTCCTTTTAGCATCTGATGATTACGCTCAATTTGCTGATTATCCAATAAGCTTTTTGAAAACTCCTCCCGCAAGTCCTTCATTTGTAAAAGGATCTTTAAGTAGAAGTGATAGTAAACCTTCACTTCATAACAGTAAATCTACTACATCCTTATCTACACCTAGATCATCATTATTACCTGAAGAAACCAATGCAACCCCCAAACGAAAACCACTCTTGAGCAAAAGTAGTTCTCACGGTTCTTTCAAAGGAAGAAAAGAAGAAAGAGAAGAAATCTTTGATAGGCGAACATTGAGAGTAAATGTAGAACAACGAGGTTTATTTATTAAACCCACAAGACCGGAAAGCACAGAAACAGGTACGGGCTCTGGCCTTAGTCCATCAACGATTCCCAAGAGACCGGATAAAAAATTACCGGATGTTCCTAAAACCTTATCAACTTCTGAGGCTGATGTGTCAAAATCTCGTTCTCGTTCACCACATATGCGGCAAGCTTCCAGCATTGCTAGTTCTTATTATGAAACTGCTAGCGGATCGACTACGACTCTACATACTGCTCCACCTTCTCCCATCATCGATACCTTCATAGAATCCAACAGTAATCATAACCTACCCGAAGGAACGCCCAAGATACAGGTTGATGAGGTCTTTTCTTCAGAAAGTCCAATAGAAGACAATAACGCGACTGACTTACTATCTCCATCGAGTATCTCTGAGAAAATGGATGACGATGATTTAGCTTACTTGGAAGCGAAGAATGCGGCACGAAGGTGCTTTGAAGAAGACGAAACGTTTATAAATAAGAAGACTATCGCAGAATTCTTGGGCGGAACGTAAGTATTTAATTTAGATTCAGTTTATAGATTAAATATTTATTTTTTGATTGAAATTTATTATTTACCTTATTTTATTTGTAACAATATAAATATATAATATAGCAAGCCATTAAATTCTCGAGCTTTAAAATTCTATGTGGACAATTTCGATTTTACAAATTTAAGATTAGATATGGCATTTAGGTATGTTGGCATATTTTTTTTTTATCATATAAATGATATCTTATATAAATGTATTACCACCTTTATGTCCTCTCTCTTTTTTTTTTTTAATAGACGCCTTTGCGGTAAATTATTTTTAAAAGCCGAAACACAACAAGTGGATCGTATTTTGGAAGCATTTTCTATACGATATTGGGAATGTAATCCTAAATGCGTTTTCGGCAGTGCAGGTAAGTAATTATTGTTATAATTAAATTAATTAAATCATAAGTTGTATCACAATATGTACACACACTTTAATTATTATTTATACATTATTTATTTATCAACTTCGTTTTTTTAGATATTGTCCACGCAGTTGCATATTCTATTCTTTTATTAAATACCGATCTTCATGTCGCGCAAGTATCCAACAAGATGTCTCGAGCTCAATTTGTACGGAATACCATGTCAGCTGTTCACACACAGATTACAAGTATTACAATCCAAAACAACAATAACAATGATGCGTATGAAGATGATCAAAGTACAATAACATCCTTGGAAACAAATACTACCATCGGAGCATCAACTACAGCTCGTCCACGTCGTAGCAGTAGTATTAAGAGCTGGCGTAGTAATTCTAATTTAAGCATGGCTAATTTATCATTTTGGTCACGACAATGGGAAACAGAATTAGAGAATCTTTTGAAAGAAATATATAATTCTATAAAAGCAAATCAAATATTACAACCATTTTCAGTTGAACAAGATAAATCGGATACATCTAATAATTTAAATAACAATAATAACCTTGCACCAGGATTACATCGAAGTCTTAGTCATTTAGGTTATCAGAACGCTAGGCTTAACACTCTCAAAAAAGGAATTGCTGCTGCAAATGCAAAAGCTCGAAAAAATCAAAATGGAAGAATTTCTCCTAGTCCAAGTTTCACAAGTGGCGGAAGTGATACTAGTGCTGGGGTAAAAAAAAAAAAATTATTTATTTATTTTACATTACAAAGTAACCCAGAATCTTAACGATATTTTTTAATTTTTTTTTTTATCCTTCAGAATGATAATCAAGGAAGATCCGGAAGTTTTCAGACTCTTCAGACATTATCTTCATTCTCTTTACGCCATGCGTCTTCATGCGAGACAGCCGTTACCTCTACAATAGTTGAAGGTAATGAAGAAGAATATGATGATGATGATAAAGCTTCAATAGCAGACTCTATTTCTACTAATGAATCATTAGAGTTGTACCTATCTGGTGCTCCATATGCTAAAGAAGGATTGTTGTTTCGAAAACATTTTTGGGAAACAACAAATAAAAGAGCAAAGGATAAAGGATGGAAAGAAAGCTTTGTAGTTGTTGAGAAGGGTGAAATACGGATGTTTAAATTTGAATCACATTCTTCGCATAGTTCATCTGGAATGGGAGGAGCAATGGGAGGAGGAAATTGGATGGTGAATTAAAATTCAATAAATTCAATAGAATTTAATGAAATTGTAACATACTTATCTAATACGATCAAACTCTTTATATTCTTTATTAGTCAAATGCAACACTCTTGGGTGAAGTCAATTTGCGTCATACAATTACCAATGCGTTACCACCACCTGGTTATAATCGAAGTCGTCCTAATGTATTTGCTCTCTCGATGTCTAATGGTGGACTTTATTTTTTCCAAGCTGGTACTTCTGAACTAGTAGATGAATGGGTTTCTACTTGTAATTATTGGGCAGCCCGAATGAGCAAAGAACCATTATCGGGAGGTGTTTGTAATATGGAATACGGTTGGGGAAGATGTTTGGAAGTACTTAATGATTCCAATGGGGATTTAGAAGATGTTAGAAGTGTGAGAAGTGATCCTCGTAGTATTTCAAGTAGCAATTCATTTTATTCTAGTGATCGTATTGTCATAGCCGAATGGAAAACACCTATACCGCCTTCAGTTTCAAGTAATCATGATGAGGTATTTTAATATCAAATTATTTTTATTTCTTTACTTTTCATTTATCGGTTGGCAAGTTTCATATTAACATTTTGTATATATTTGATATATTTACATATTTATAGGACGCACAACTTGCGGCATTGAAAAAATATAAAATTGATTTAGAAAGTGAATTAGAAGAACATAAAAATTATTGGGAGCCCATGTCAAGATTGGTAAATAATTAATGATTGTTGATTTTATTGTTAATTTTTAATTTTATTCTGGTTATTGGTTTTAATTAATTTGACTTTTAATGATTTTTTTATAGTTCCCTTTACGTTCCCATAATCACACAAAGGCATTCGCCAATTGGGAAAAGAAATCCCAATGGTTATTATATGAAATTGTCAAATACACCACATATATAGAATGCATTGAAAATTCAATAAAATTACGTGCAAAAAGGAAAATGGAAAAGAATAAATCTAAAGAGACCAAAGAGACCGAGATTGATGAAAAGGAAAACAATAAATCTGAAAAAAGGGAAAATATGGATAAAGACCAAGACAGTGAAGAAGAAAAAGAACAAAAACGTGAAGAACAGAGAGCACGTGCAAGATTATCATTAAAATTAATTCAAAGATCTACATGGACACCAGGAGATGGTTGTAGTCTTAATTTGCCTAAAGAATTATTATTTGATGATGAGGATGGTAATGGTGGCGAAGAAAATCGGAATAGTCTCATTGGACTTGAAGCAGCATTTACAGCAGCAAAAAACAGAGCAAATAAAAGCAAATCAGCTACTTATCCACCTGCTTCCAAAGTTAATGAAGATGACCCAATAATTAATAATTTAGAAGAAAAATGGGTGTAAAAATATTTATAAAAAAAAAAAATGGAAAAATTATAATTTATTTAGGGATTTATTTATTTAGTGGTGATAATTTATTGTATTATTAAAAAAGTAAAAAACATTGTTGTAATAATGTGTATTTTTTTTTCTCTATGGAAAAAATTCTTAGAATTGTAGATTTATAATAAATGGTTTTAATAATTTATTTGGTTGTTTTTTAGCATTATAATCATTATATTCTATACATCATTTGGCAGAATATTTGGGATGGGTATAAATATTGGATATAAATATTGGTTGTGGATTAAGGAATGTAAAAAATGTTAATTTCACTATTATTTATTACAATTATTTTAATAAAAAATTAATTATTTTAATAAAAAATTTCAAAATCTTAACATATGTTTACCTTGGGTGCCTTTTGACCAGAATTATAAAACTGACCTATGTAGATCATTTTAACTTCAGCCAACCCTAACTCTAACTTTGGTCAATCAACACCTGAGTCATTTCATTTTAATATCAGAATAGTTTTTAACATAAATAATCAAAATATACCAGGATTTGTTTATGAAGGAGAATGAACTAATAGTGAAGTTAAGCCATAAATACAATTTAGAAAAAAAGCTAATATTGCATTATTCTTAAAAATTTGTCTCCGGAAAAAATTACAATATTCTTGAACTAAACCCATACACATTATGTAATCAACCCGATTGCATTACTTACCTGTGGCCACTTATCATTGTGAATGTATCGAAAGTCCTATCAAAAATCGTTCAAAATATCCAAAAATTGATTGCGGATAGCGTTCCTGGAAGTCAAAATTTCAACGACCTTATAGAATATATCACCGTTACTATTTAAGGCCTAGAAGACTGGCGAATCGTCTATGCTGAAAAATCTTATCAAAGAATTAACAACCTATGTCCCTGAAATTAGTGAAGCTTTGGAAGGATCGATTTTGAATAAAAACAAGATAAGATAAATGAGGATAAAGTAAATGAACTGATTTAGCGTCTGAATTAAATAATGTAGAAAATTGGTAGTTAGCGATATGATATATACTAAAAAATTAAAGTATTCTTATGTATTTTGCTACTTACATTTATAAAAACTGCCTTATTATAGTTTTTTTACGCTCATTTTGACCATTATATTTAAAATGTATTAGTATATAGTCAAGTCAAGAGCATTTGCATCAGGGTTTATAGAAATAATGAAAGTTCGATTGTCTTGTAATACACGAATTTGGAATTTAGAAACTATAAACTGTATCTAATCATATCACCGATAAAAGCTTCCCAATACCCATCACTACGTAACATGATTCGATTGAATTTTCAACGACTGTTTGTTTCATTGTTTGGATTTGTTATCCTTCATAAAATGTATAGAAATACAAGTCGTTTCCTCAAAATTACCAATTCGATCAGAATTTCAAGTTTTTCCACAATAAACAAACAGCAGAAAAAGAATTCATTTCAAATTTTAGTGGATGATGAAATTTTAAAATGTATCAAACCTGCAAAAATCAATTTGTTCACAGCATTATGGAACCAGCAGAAAACAATTTGGGAAAAAAATGTAGAAGTAGTAGAACAACTTTTGGTAAGTTTTGCTTTTCATCAATGATAGTGAGTTTTTATTTATCATCATCTTGCCTCTCCAGAACCAGCAGAAAACAAATGTAGAAATGGAAAAAGGAAAAATGAAATTAGTAGAACAACTTTTGGTGAGTTTTACTTGAAATTACTTCATCAATGAAAATAAGGTTTCATTTATCATCATGTTTCCTATCCAGAGCCAAACGCAATTGGATTATTTAAAACTTAAGGGCGCAGTTCATCTTCGAGGAGTTTTTGGTTAGTAAAATTGTTTTTACTTTCACTATGAATATTTTGTTAATCTTTTATTTTAATCGATATCTAGAAAGGTGGGAAGAGATTTCATTGGATCATACTAATAGTACACGATTTAAACGATGGAAAGTATATCTTGAAAAAAATAATAATGAGAACTTAAAAAATTTTCAGAGTTTCTGGAACTGGGAGAAGGCTATAAGCAGTGTAGATGTGGCAAATGAAATGAAAAATTTTTATAATTGGTTATCTACAAAAATTCATAACTCCACTTCAACAGCTGATCGTGTAGAATGGCGAAGGGCGGAATTACCACAAGAATGGACCAGGGTTGCTGAATTCATGTGTGAAAAAATTAAAATACCTTATAAAATTATTGAAGATGATCAATTGGAAGAAAACTAATATAAATAATAGAATAATATTATTAATTATAATATTTTTATACTAGTAATTTCTTAATTATAATCTGCATGATTTAACCAATGTATTTATACCTAACAAGTTTCTATTTATCTGTTCGATTGGACAGAAAAAAAATAAAAATAAAAATTGATAGATAATTAATCGATCATACGATTAATACTAATCAATTAAATTCTTTATTGAGCATGATTTGAACGGAGCGATGAGGATTTTTAACCTTTAATTCGTCAGACTTCTCCACCATTGCTTTTCCATGAAGGTAATGAGAGTCGAGAATTTCATATTTTATGTGGATCACTCACGGGTTTTTTTTCGAGATTCTTCTCAACTTTAAGAATTACATTTGTGAGTTTGAGGAGTTTTCGGTTGCCTCAAAGACTATTGGCGAAAGGGATAATTCTTTAAAAAACTTTTTCAATTTCCAGTTTTTTTTTGCTTGCGAATTTAAGTTTTCATCAATATCGAAATAAATAGGTACACGACAGCTCGGACAAGTTGCATCTTCTTTAGAGAACTGGTATACATTTAAGATGGAAGTTATGTTTAAGGTTTACTTCGCGTATAATGGATCAGAGTTATTACACAAATGTTTGTGGGATGCTGGTCCAGTGATTTGATTTCCGTTAGTGGTATTAGTGTTATAGCGTGAATTAAATGTATCTGTATATTGAGACCCAAATATTTCTTCTTTAATGCTAATCGGTACGAACTGTGTTTGCGAAGTAATGCGATCGGATCCTTTTTCCATTGATGTTATTGACTTTGGGTTACGATTTTTGAGGAGATGATGGGTTTTATACTCATCATATTAATACGTATTCTCAAATCCTAAAACAACTGGAATTCTACTACAAAAAAAAAATATCATAAGTTGAAGTTACCATAGGAGTTGGAATAATCTCGGCAAAAATAATTAGCCTCCTTAAGGCCTGCGTGGGTAACCGAAAATCAAACAAAGATACCTTATTTTGATTAAAAGATAAGCAATATGATTTTGATGGTTTTGTTTTTACAAACTATTTTTTTTTTCGCAAATCTTTATTATTATTTTTTTTTTTGATTTTACAGACACACTCTCTTCCATCACCATTTCGCGAAGAAAAGATTGGAACTTGCTAGAAATTATACATATTATATTTTCATCACAATAAACTTTTCAGTATAATTTTATTGAAACAATAAAGCGCAAATTAAATATGGTTATTGGATAGTAATTAATTAAACTGAAGCAGTTTTCATTTTAACGATTCGTTCGAAACAATATCCATTCTCCTTTCGTCTTCACTTTTAGTCTGTGAATTATTAACTAGTACTACGATGGCAATTGTTTTCGAGGTAGATCATTGTTATACAATCCACGCGTGTTTCGTTTCTCATTTTTGCCATAAACGAAATATTCGTTGTATAATTAATACTGCGTGTCTTTTTTTATACTTAAATGTAAACAATGCTGCCTTTATTTTAAATTCTCTGAATTTTGGATTATCACATATGTATTCACGTTTGGTTAAATTACGCAAGGTTTTATAATAATGGACAAAGAAATAAAAGTAACAAAGATTTATCGATGTGACAAAACCGAACCCCTTTCCCTTAGTTATTGTGGATTTTGAGAGGCAAGTTATAATAAGTTACACGGGACCTAATTTAGAAAACAATGACCGTTTGTAATAATATTTAAATGGTATGGTAATGTTTTTTGTTATGCCAATAATGTACGAAATAAAAGAAGAAAAAGGTTCATACCATCATTATATTCCAAGATTTATTCTACGTAACTTTGCTATTGACAATTACGATAGAGTATTTGTGAATAATAAGAAGATATTCAATCAGAACAAAAAATTTTGGAAGAAAAGAAGAGAAGAACTTCTCCAAACCTATGATAGGATTGTGGATGAACTGGAATTCTCATTAATTTCAAAAACTTATGGATGCAAAAATATGTACAAAGATTTTAATCATGAAGACGCTGAGAATGTGGAAAAAAAACTAGCAAAACTTGAAGGACAATCATCAAAAGTGATCAGAGATATTATTGAGGTATCTGAAAGAGAAATCCATATCACTTTGCTCAGGAAAGATCTCGAAGATCTACGCAAGTTTCTCTTCATTATGAACTATCGAAATCCTTACCGGCGAATTCAGTATACTGATAAAATTTTTGATCCTATTACCTGGTCAATGGTAAAAAATTTCATGAAGGGACGCAATTTACAAAGTCCTCTAAAAGTGTGGTTACAGAACGTCCGTGAAATACTAGAGACCCCACATGAAGATGTCAAAGATAACCCGCGAATCTTTGGTTTAGATAGGTCAGATTACAGAACACGCATGATCGACTGTTTTCTCGCAATTTGGAAAGCTGGCGAAAATGATGAATTTTTAGTGACCAGTAATTCATTTGGAATTTTTGAAGGAATAAATTTTGAAATACACAAAGACATCGGTTCATTTAAATTTGCATTCCATTGGTTTTATGTCATCTCCCCAAAGATAATGTTGGTCCTCTGCCATTCGGCGTTCCGAAAAGAAAATGGATTTGAATATTTATACAAATTTCTTGGATTTAAATATCATTCAATTTTTGAAAATGTTCCTCATCTACCGGCAACTGTAAAATATGTTGGTCGCATTGATTCCTCTCGTGCAGGATTAAAACCAGATAATGCATTTGACAATTCATTTGATAGGTATATAAATAGTATAGGTCTTGAGACACAACCAGATGATAAATTTACTTTTCCCTTCGTTAAAGTCAATTCAGCCACTGTTCATCTTGTAAATGCTATCATACTAAATGAGGCTAGATCAGATTTGATTATATCATACGTTTCTCCTTCATACCTCTACAAAACAATTGTCAAGTATCATAAAAATCCAAGGTTTATCAAACAAAATTTTTCAAGTTTAAAAAAGAAATTGTTCACAGAATTAAACAAAACTCACAAGGAAGACTTGAATTTTCGGAAAAACATTCCAACCAGAGGCCGTACACGTATTTGGCATGAATGTAGGATGGTTACAAAATCTTGATTGCATATTGGAAGTATGTTTACATAATAGTATTAAATATAAATATCACTTTTCTCGAATGAATAAATTTTAAATAAACTTTCAAAACGATATTTTTTTTATACTGAAATAAAGATCAAATTAAAATTTATTTTGAACAATTTTAAATTTTATAATAATATTAATAAAATTTACTATTACTGCAATGAGAATACTCATGTTAAAAATATGGGGTGATTCCATTTTCACTATATTTAATATTTTACACATTTATTTTTATATTTTATGTACAGTATTTTTAGTTTGCGATATTGTTTTTATATAATATTTTTTTTATCAGTTCTTCGTGAATTTTTTTTTAAAAAAAACAAAATCTCGATAATACGAAATAAACAGATCATCAAAAAATTTACAACATAAAATTGACACTAACCCACTCAAAGAAGATTATTTCAAGAATTTATATTTATTTATTTATTTGTAGTTTTCAGTTTGAATAAACATTTGTATACCAAATTTTAGGTTTTTTTTTTAACGTAATAATCAAAAGCATTAAAAATTAGTGAATTATTTTCTTGCCCAATTTCAGAAATGAAATATTGTATAAACGATTGTATGACATTGACATGTGTAAAACGAATAGAACCCACGTATTTAAAAAAGTATATTTCATTATGAAAAATTATTGTTTTAATTTATTTTATTATTCAATTAAATGATAAAAGAATAATGCTATAACTATAATAGTAAAGAAATTATGTTGTAGATGGTGTTATATTTTGAGGAATTACTGGATTTATCAGAATTTTTCATGGATAGCGCTTGCGGATATTTATTATTCGGTTTATTATTATTATTAATTTATTAATTTGATTTCTTTCACTAGATTCATGAAAATCCACAGTCCGTCATCAATAATCAAGATAAAATAATTTAATTTCATCTTTTGATTTAAGATTTGTAATTTGATTTATTATTTAGTATTTTTGAATGTATATTATATCTCAATATTATTTATTATATAAATTTAAATTTATTAAATGCCAGCAAATGTACAATAAAAATCTTTTTATTACTATTGAATGTATTTTATTTTATAAAGAATAATTAAAAAACATATCGGATATTATTCATGATAATAAATCAAAACTTTACAAAATAAATATAAAAAAATATTTGCATTATTAAAATCTTATGATTATGTAACTAAATTCGTGTATTCATTGTTTAATAAAATTGGATTGTTAATCATAAATCGATCGCTCAAACAAAGTTAGCCTAAAAAAGCTAGACATCTTACAAATTCAGAAAGGAAATATTAACGGTAGCAAAGTTTTATTTCTTTTTTTGAATTTGGGAGGCATGTAGGATTCTCATTAAATGTTATTAATTATATTAGCTGAATTTAAAGTGTAACGAACAATATAGTATTATTGTTTGAAATACTATATTTAGATTTAACAAAGGTAAACGCGAAATATTTTAAAAAAAAATTTTAACAATGCGGATATATGTGAAGGTATGGGTAGGTAGGTGTATTATTTATTTTTTTTTAAAGAAAAAACGAAAGAAAACAAAAAAAAATATACTTACTTTTCTTCTCATTTACCCCTTTGGAATTATTTCAAGGCGGGAATTATTTTTTTTTAAAAATAATATACTTACCTCCTTAATTTTTAACAATAAAAATTTATAAAATGATTTTATTATCACGAAACTAATACTGCACCTCTATATTTTTTATTTTTTTATAAATATAAGGGAAAGTAAGCTTAGCGAATACTTTATAATTATCTCTCTCAAAAAAAAAAAATATTTTATTATCTTACATTTTTAATAAAAAATATATTCTTTTAGTAAAAAAAAAAAATACCTAATAAACAAAGATGACCAGCAACTCTCGAAAAAGGCCAAGATCTTCTATACAAGCGACATCAGCCCGGAACTTAACCGAAAACACAAGTGGGTTGTTAATATTTAATAGGAAGGATTGGGGTGATTGTTCTGGATCTAGGCGTACGTACTCTTATGACAGGCTATAATCCAAGTGGAGTAGCTATTGAGTGGAGGAAAAATGATATTGATCGAATTTATCAACTAAGTCATAAATACGATAAGTTCCAAAGTAAACACGATAGTATTCATGGAGAAAAAAAACAAGCGTAAGCGTTATAGGTAAGTTTAATTAATTAATTTATTTATTGTTATTTATAATTTAACATTTAATATACTGTACATGTATTATTTATATTAATTATTTAATTACATCGTGTTTATGTTTCGCATCCATAAGAAGATTCGTTGCCTTGTAAATGATTGTCACCATAAACTAGCCAAATGGCTTTGCAAAAATCGTGTAATATTATTACCAAAATTTCGCACTCAAGGAATGGTCAGACGTCGTCAACGACGTATCGGTTCCAAGACAGCCCGAGCTATGTGTACATGGTCACATTTTCGCTTTCGACAACATCTAATCCACAAGACACGTGAGCAAACATGGTGTCAAATAGTTCTTTGCACAGAAGAATACACAAGCAAAACTTGTGGATCATGTAGCTAAATTCACAAAAACCTGGGTGGATCCAAGGAGTTTTGTTGTCTACTAAACTTGACAGAGATATTAATGGTGCTCGTAATATTCTTCTTAAATACCTCACCAAAAAAAGAGTCAGCTTAGGCTGACGAGGGTGTCTATTTTCAAAGAGGACTTGTAGGTTCTAATATAGATTGTTAAAGAATATTTTTCTATTTTACCAGAAATATAATTTTGATTACTTACTAAAATGAGATATTAAATTTATTACTTTCTAAAATAAGATGTTAAATTTATTACTTTCTAAAATAAGATGTTAAATTTATTGTAATAGAAAAATCTTGCTAAAGAACAATTAAATTTATTGTAATAGAAGATCTATTTTAAAACCAATACATAATTTAGCTCATTAATAAATTATTTTTGGAACAAAAAATAAATTATAATAATAACAGATAGCCATAAATGACATTAAATGGTATTCGATAAAAAAGTCTATTCGTTGTTCGCATGCAGGTCAACCAAATTTTCGTTTGTTCACCGAAATAATGCATTATTTCTTAATGCGGTAATATTTAAATTGCATGTACAAAAAATGCAAACAAATAACATATATTTAAATAAATAATAATAAAGTTTATTTTAAATTTTTGGTTTTTTTTTTTTTTTTTTTTTTTTCATTCATTATTAAATTATTAATTCCTTAAAAAATTCTTCATTAATTTTTCAATATTAATCCTTTTAATAATTCCTTTATTATTCATTCTTTTATAACTTGCAAAAAATGACTGATTTCAGAAAAAATTTAGGGGTTGACGCCGTATGTACTTCATGTGATTTTTAACGTTAAAAGGCAGATTAATATAATTAATATAATTAATATAATTATTATTTGAAATATTAGACTAGCGCATCGCCCAAATCACTTAACTTATCATCCAATTCAATGATAATACAAAAGTCACAACCGAATCCCATGAATCCTATAAAGTTTCTTGAAGAAACTGAAGAAGAATATCTTGAAGATCTAAAATGCTTTATTGAGGTTTGTTGAATTCAAAGAATTTTCTTTTTTTATTTGCTTTCATTAAAATTTATTTATTTTTCTTAAATTCAGAGAGTGATCACATGCTGGAATGATGGCAATCCTCCCCCACCAGAATTAGATATAATGTTTCGTTTTATTAATGATATCTCTAAGAAAAGTAAATCATTTCGTTTGGTAAATATTTAAATCTTAAATTTAGAAAGTTTTTTTTTTTTCTTATAAAAACTGACACTTAATATATTTCTTAATATATTATTTGTACGAAATTTCAAATTTCAAGCGACTTTTGAATGCAATCGAAACGCAAACTACACAAAATCTTGTTAACACAATAACAAAATGGGTAAGTATTCTATGAAAATATATGTGTATAATGCGTAAATATAAATAATCTATAAAATCGTCTTGTTATTTTCTTTAGATAGATGAAATAGAAGAGCAATATTCAGATTATTGTAAAGAATACCGAAAAGGTGTAGATATATGGCCTGAAGTTGAAGGAAATACTTCATTACAAGGAATTTTGAATGTAACGTAATTAAATATATATATATATATTAGTTCCTCTTTTTTTTAGTTAAATTATAATTAATGACCTTTATTTTTTATAATTTTTTATAGAAATTGACAATTGAAAAGAATAGACCAATAACTTTGGAATCTCTTTTGGATATACCACTCAAGAGAATTAGTTATTATAAAAAAATATATATGGTTAATATAGTTCAAAAATATTCAAAAAAAATACCGACTTATGAACATTATAATAATTTATTATATTAATTTCCTTTTTCATCTCAAAAATTTCATTTTATAATAGCGTCTTTCCAAAACACCTGAACTTGGAAAATATCAATCAAGTTTGAAAGCTGCAAATAAAAAAATTCAAGCTATTATTGATTTAGAAAAAAAATCCAAAGCATCACCAAAACCGAGAATCCCAATGACCCCAAAGAATAATTCTTTGCAAGAATCAAAAACTGTAAAAACTGTGCAAAATACGGAAAATTTTAATGCAAATTCGAATGCAAATTCTAATGTGAATTCTAATATGAATTCCAAAACGAATCCTAATGTAAACTTTTATATGAGTCTCAACCCGAATCCTGCGAATTCTAATATGAATTTTAATACAAATTCCAAAACCAATCCTAATCCGATTGCAAATTCTAATTTTATTCCAAATACTAATGCAAATTATAATCCTAATCTTAATGTAAATTATGATACGAATCCTAATAAGAATCCTAGAACTAACTCTAATACGAATCCTGATACAAATTCCAATACAAAAGGTGTGAAAAGTGCAAAAGATGCGAAAGGTGCAAAAGATTCTAAAGATGACAAAGATGTATTAGATGCAAATTCAGATATAAATTCATTGAATTCTTCTCAAGATTTCAAGAATTTGCATTCTCAAAATGATCCTATGTCAGGTAAGAAGGGATTAGAATCAGAGATATTAAAGGATTTCTTAAACTGGAATCTACCAAATGATTCCATATCAATAGATTTCGAAAACTTGGATTTATCAAATGATTCTATATCAGTAAATTCTACGGAATTAAAATCTAATCAGCCAGTAATACATTTAAAGGATTCCTTAAATTTAACAAATAATTCCATATCAGTAAATTCTAAAGATAAAAAGGAATTTGAATCTATTCAGTCAGAGATACATTTAAAAGATTCCAAAAACTTGAATTTACCAAATGATTCAATATTAGAAAATTCTGAAGATAAGAAGAAATTAGATTCTAATCAGTCAGAGAAAGATTCCCAAAACTTGAATTTATCAAATAGTTCTATATCGTCAAATTCCGAAGATAAGAAGGAATTTGAATATATCCAGTCAGAGACACTTCTAAAGTTTTTTTCAGAACAAACAAATGAAAATTCTAAAGATTCTCAGCCTAATTCAGATTCAGATTCTATTATAAATTCTTTTGAAAAAAAATCGGTGAAAAGTAATAAAAAACAAAAGATAAAAAAGCTTTCGCCATTACAAGAATTTCAACTTAAATTAGACACATCTAAAGTAATGGATTTATTTACCAATAAACCAAAGGTGATAATAATTTATTTTATTAGATTTTAAATATGAAAAATAATTATCTTAATATTTTTTATTTTATTTATTTTTATTTTTTTTTTTATTTTTTTCTAGAAAATAAAAGTTGAACTTGAACCACCTCATTTACCATTTAAACGAGAATTAATTCTTTCAAAAGAATTTTTAGTTATATTTCCCAATGATGAACAGCCAGAATCCCAACCACAAAAATTTCGACGACATTTATTCTTATTTACTGACCTTTTATTGATATGTAAAAAATCCAATTCCTCTGAACAAAAAATATCTGGAAAAGAATTTTCATTAAATTATCCACCATTAAGCGGAAGGCATCTTTCTATTTCTAATGATGGAAATAAAAGTATGTTTATAACCGGAATATTTTAAATATTATATAATATAAATTATTATTATTAACAAATTTTTTTATGAAAAAATTAGATTCGATTCTTTTACAAGTCTCAAACAAAACAATAATCCTGAATTCTGAAAATAAGGAAAAAATTGAAGAATGGGCCACTAAAATCTCTAAAATGATTTGTTTCGTAGTTTCCATGGCAGGCAAATATTAAATAATTATTTATTAATCTTTTATTTATAATAAATTAAAAAAAAAATTAAATAATTAAATTTAATTTTGTTTAATATAATATAATTTATAGGTGCATCGACTCAAACGAATACAGAAAAAAATCAAGCACCGAAAAGGATTAATAGTTCTTATTCATCATCATTAATATTAAACGATGATTCGAAAAAAATTGGTAACAATAATACGGAATCTTCTGTGATGAACATAAAAAAGATATCAAATATCGGAAGTTTACGTATTAACGCGAAAAATTATTTAAGAAAGTCACCAAGTGTAGGAAACTTAGAAACTAAATCAAATAATAATAATAATAATAATGGTCAAGAAAAACTTTCTCGTGTTAACGGAGAATCATCTTTGAGAATTGTACATAAAATTAATAAATCACCTTCTTTATCTGATTTAACACCTTTGAATAATAATAATAATTATTATTATTTAAATTCTGAGAGAAAATCATCACAAAGTGCCCGAGAAATATCAAGAAATCGAGAAATAACACAACATATGAAGAGTCCAATACCTAAATTTATAATAGATGAATCAATTATTTACAAAAAAACATTACATCAGTCTTTTTTCTGTGATGTTAAATATTATACCAACAACGGTAATTATGAATCAATCACAAATGATAAAGATGATGAATATACAGTTGAATTAAGATTAACCGATACCTATCAGATTTGTTTAATTGCTATATTAGAAAAAAATGACGAGATTTTATTGCAAAAATTCATTAATTCAAAAAACAGTTCAATCAAGAAGGAATCACTATTTAGGGTTAATATTCGCATTATAAGAGATATTGATGAATGTGCAGAAATTTTTAGAATATCTTTATCAACTCCTCACGAGACTGAAAGATTTGTAGAAATACTTCAATCAATTGGATCGCCGAAATCATCATCTTCTTTATCTTCTTCATCTTCTTCGTCTTCCTCTTCCTCGTGTTCATCATCATCTATTTCCTCTTCACAATCTATGATTAGTTATCCTATAAGTTCACGATCAAATTCTCTACAACCAAACCACAACCAACACAACCACCACAACCACAATAACAATCACAACCACAACCACAATAATAACAATAACAGCAACAATAGAAACAGCAAAAACAAAAACAACAATTTCATGAAAAGTCTATTCAAATGATGGAATCTAAATGTAAATTAACATTACCAAATGAAATAAGAGATAAAATTTTAATAGACAGTTTTGAATAATTTTTGGATATAAGTATTGAACATTATTGTGTAATATTTGTATAATATTATATTTTAAATTTATTTTACTATTATATTTAAATACCAACTGCATTATTTCTATAATAAATTAATAATAAAATTAAATAAAGAGAATAATAATAATAATAATTAATAATAAAGTTTATTTGCAAAAATATTTTAATAAATGTTTACATATATAGTGATATGTATGTAATGAAAGTTGCATTAAAGATATAAAGTAAATAATAGCAACTACCCAAAATAAAAACTTTCTTCATAATAGTATTTCTTTAAAGTTTGCTTTCGAAATTATTTTCTTCATTAACCTTTACCACCATTTTACCAATATTTACACCTTGAAATAATTTTACCAAACCTTCGGGTGCATTCTCTAATCCATTTACAATATGTTCATTCTTTTTGATCTTACCTTCTTGCAACCATTTTGAAAGATCCTTTCTTGCTTCTCGAAATCTGGTGTAATAATCCATACTATTGTTTATATATATATATATATATATATACATTATAAAATTAATATAATAATAGATTCAAAATAATAATAATAATTATAATGTTATAAGAGTAGAGTAATATTAACTAATAATGATAACTTACACGATGAATGATTCCATCTTGCCTCTTGTAGGAATTAAATTAAGATAATTGGAAGGACCTTTCACCTCCTTTTCATTATATTGACTGATTCCTCCGCTCAAAACAATTCTACCCTTTAGAGCAAGTCTACTTAAACTAAGGTTCAAGATTTTTCCTCCAACATTATCAAAATATATATCAATATATTTAGGTGTTGCTGCTTTAAATTTTTGATCAAAATCAGGATCTTTATAATTTAATGCTACATCAAATCCTAATTCATTCAGTAACCAATCACATTTTTCTTTAGAACCAGCTATTCCAATTACTTTAGTTTCCTTTATCTTGGCAATTTGACCTTGTTTTAATAATAATATTACTATTGTTAAATATTTCACTTTGAAATTCTTTTATCCTATAAATAATTAGTATATTTACCAGCAATACTTCCAACAGCACCTGCGGCCTAAAAATAGAATACATGTCTTATTATTTATATATATAAAATGATAGATTCTTTGAAATCTATAATTTTTTTTTTTGAATGGTTACCCCAGAAACCACAACTGTTTCTCCTGGTTTAGGTTTACCTTTAGATAAAAATAAAAAAAATTTAATGAATCCTTTTTTAAATAAATAAATAAATATATATAAATATATACATATATATATAAACTATTCTATAATTTCACTTACCAACTAAAGTGTTTCAAATAATAATTTTCAAATGATATTATTTAATTAGATATTTCAACTTTTATAATAAAAGAAATAAAAATAAAATAAAGATAAATAGAAATAAATTAACTTACTATCCAATAATCCAAAATAAGCAGTAAGACCTGTAACCCCAAGAGTACTAATATAATCTATAAGTGAAGTACCAGGTAGAAAACTAATCAAAAGTTAAAATTATTATTAAATCACATAATAAATTAAATAGTAACACATGTTCATTTATTCTTACTCGATCTTTTCAACTCCTTTTCCATCACTAACTGCATATTCTTGCCATCCTAATTAATATAATTAATGAATTGTTTAATCATTTAATTATTTAATGATTTTTTTTTCTTTTTTTTTAAAAAAAAAGAATTAAGGTGTACCCAATAATCCAGAGACTTTATCATGAATTTTAAATTTAGGATTCTTGGAGAAAATAACCTCTAAAATTGAAGTAATAATATAAAGAAATAATGTAATTGATATAATGTATCATATTCATGTAGAAGAAGAATAATAATATATATAAATAATAATACCTCCAATTGTCATACTACGCATAACATCATTAATAGCTTTAACATTTTTTTATTTTTTAATTAAAAAAAAAAATAATTAACTACAAATATCCATTAAATAATAATGATATTATTGATTATTATATTGAATATATAATTACCAATAGGAGGAATATAACTATTAGAACATAAAATATTGAAATGTAAGAAGAAATAAATTAAATATTATATTATATTATTTTGTTTGAATAAAGAAATGAAAAATGAAAAAAATTACCTTCTAGCCTCGCTCATCCATGAACGCATCGCTGATGATGATTACATTTATTAATTAATCGAAAAATATCATATATATATATATATAAACTAATGATTTTTTATTTAATACCTGGATCCAACGATAAATAATAATTCTTAACCAAAATTTGACCATTCTTCAAATCATTTTCTTTTGGAATTGGTGATTTTATAATTTTAAAAGTTTCATTAACATCAAGTGCACCAGAAGGAGGTCTTTTAACAAATAAGATTTGTTTGTTGCTCATTATTTTTTAATAATATATAAATCAAATTTCTAAAAAAAAAAAAATTGTATTTATATAGTGTGAAATCACTGTGCCACATATATATAGTGATGAACAATAAACTTTATAATTATATATATAGTGATGAACAACAAACCTATACGTAATTCCAGTTTTATATTATAGGATAGTCAGTAGATCGATAAAAATTTTTTCATTTAATGTTCTCGTTATGATAATTCCTTACTAATACATAATAAACAATTTGAATACCACATGATAATGAAATGTTATTGATAATTTTAAATTACCAAGAAAATTTAAGATTTATAACTTTTGTAAGAAATATACATATAATTAAAATAGTTTCTGTGGTAAATGATAAAGAATCCAACTTTGTTTCAAATGTGCATTTCCAAATACTTTGTATTCTCTTTTTGCAATTTCTTCTTAATTACTTATTTGTTTAGTTTCTCTTTTTTCAAACATTTCTAAACTTCAATAAATAATAAAATCCAATAAAAAATAAATCCACCCACTAATTCTATTTTTAGATAAAAAAAAATATTTTTTGTTGTTGCCGTCAAAATTCGTCCCGAGAATGCCCCATTTATACTTAAAAGAATCTTTGCTTACATCTTTCGTGTGTAAATAAACAAATCAATAAAATGAAAAAAAATTGTGGGGTAAAATTCTATGGGAACATTTCTCGAGAACCCACGCCACAAACAATACAATTCTCAATCAATGTAAATGTTAATAAAAAACTTTAATAATTAATTTATGCAAATTATATTAATTAACCTCATTTCACTCATTTCGATATATCATTCTGTAGAACCACGTATATATTTTAAGGTATTAAAGTTTTTTTTTTTTGTTGTATAATACATTTTATCTTATTTTTTGAGTATTGTTCCGATTGGATTTTTTTTCCTGGATCCCAGGAACGGGTCATCGTACAATATTTCTTTCACTGGGTAACATTAATTGATTTATTGAAAACAATACATAAAATATTGGCGAAAATCATATGATTAAAGAAAGAATTCATATCAATAATACGATCATTTATGCCAAAATGGAGTCTTATGTAAACATAAACATGTTGATTTTCAAAATATTATCATGGCGTCTACTTGGACATTTCTTGGTTGATTATTAATGATATTATGATTATGATATTATATTAATAATTATTATTAATTATTATTATTCTTATTATATCTTTAAATGTAGATTTAGGTTTTCCCTATTTTGGGAATTACAATAACGAACGAACTTGTACAAAAAGTAATAAATAAAATAAATAATAAAGTGGCGTTTCTAAATTTAGATAAATTTCATCCGATTTCAATTTACTTGCATATTGAATATATCTTATTTATTTATTTATTTGATTTATTTATGTACTACGCACCTTTAAAACATCACGAAAGAAAACTAAAAGTAATGCACTGCGATCCAAAGATTTTATAATCTTTTAAGTTTCTTCATTAAACAATAAAGTTTTTCATTAATAGTTATTGTTTTGCCTAAATTAAGAAATCCAATAAGTTATTGTATTGCAAATTAAGGAATCCTATAAGAACTTTTTTCGATTAAACAGATATTAACATTGTTTTTTGGGGAATTGAAAAATCTAAATTTAACAATTATATTTTATTCCTTCTTTATAATGGTTTTTTTAGTAAAAAAAAATCTCGGAATTTTCTTTAATCAACCACAAATATGTATGCGCGTGCACAGAGATACTTTAAAATGCGTGCTTCCACTCTCCGTTATTTATTGGTTATTTATTTATATTAATTAATAATATTTATTAATTAAATGATGGAACTAACCATGATAGTATTTATTCAATTGTGTAAATGGATTTTTATCATAAAACTAAAATGAAAGTTCATTTATTCTTGTTTCCTTCTCTCCGAGTTTACAAGATTATGATCCATTTTTTATCTTATTTTTATTCAAAATATTTATTTCAAATCATTTATTCCAAAAATGTTTATACTTTTGCTACTAAAATTCTAAAAAAAAATTTATTCATTTTTAAAATAAGTGCGTTTTAATTAATATCAATGAACCTAAATTCGGAAATGTTAAGAATAAAACGAATGCTTTAAAACGAATAATATTTTTTTTGAAAATGCTTGGAAGTTTGAGTCCAGATTAGGATTTTTCACTTTATTAATTCCATATAAAGAAATTCGAAAATCTACGTTATGTTGTGTTGATAGTGTGCGTGTACTACTTTTTTTTTTTTTTGATAGAAATTGCGATCTAAACGAATTTAGTTCAATTTTTTTTCTTTTCAATAATAAATAACAAATATGAAATCATTTTTTTTAACCGTCCGAATTATTTAAAAAGTTCTCACCCACAAATCGTCATCTATCCGTAATCAATACCTAGATTATGAAAATTTTCCCGTCGTAAACAGCTTTTTTTTTTTGTGTGTGGGGTAAAGAATAATAATAATAAAGCAAGAAAATTTACTTTATTAGTTATGAATATCTCTCTCAGATTCATTGAGATCCATTTTTTAAGAAATATAATTTTTTTAATTTTTAAATTAACCAGATCAGGGTTTTGTGTATGTATATATGCAAAATGTGTGCGAATAAATAATGCAATGCTGTAAAAAAAAATGTGTGTACGCAAAGCAAAAAAAGGTGAGATTTGGATTTTCAACATTATGACATATTTCTTCCTAGTGGATCAAATTTAAAATTTAAATTTAAACCTAAAATCAGAGATCATCACAAATTTAGAGATCATCACAAATTTAGAGCCTTGTTTATATATTGAGAATTTCCATTTAACGCCACACTTTCTTTTTTTACCACATACATTTCTGGTAATTCTCTTTTTTTTTTCTTTCTATTTTTAAACAATTTTAAACAAATTCAAAACAATTGCTAATAAATGCATTATGTTTTGTATATATGTAACAAGCGTAACGGTACTATATAATAGTGGTAACGGACCCTTGCATTTTTGATGATATGATATAGAAAGAAAATTTATTGTCTTTAGTATTGTCAATTGGAAATAGTTCACAAATGCATTATTGTTGCACTATCTCTCTTAAAATGTAATGGGGGCGAACCAACAGGTATGGGTTAACTATTATATTATATTTAGGTGAACAAAACAAAATATCCAATTTTTTTGTTCATTTTATGGCGTAGTAGTGTTACTGTTGGTCCCGTCGATCATACGTAGTAATAACCGAGAATTTCATTATTTCTTTCGACGCAGAATATGCGCAGTTTCAGGGTTTTTTTTTTTGGATTTTTCTATTAATGCTGTGACTAGAAATATTATTCTTTTTAATTAAATGCGTGGGGTGATGTTTTGACAATAATAGGATCAAATTTTAATATTTTTCTTCTTGGCAATAAAAAAAAAATAAATGCATTAATGTATATAGGAACAATACATAAATTTTCATATATCAGAACAAGAGAAAAAGATGAAAAAAAAAATTATGGAGAAAGAAAATTGGAAAAAAAAAGAGATCATAAAGAAATTTATTAAAATAGTTCCTTGCATCTAAAAAAAAATTTATTAGTCTATTTATAGTAAACTTGACAGGAGATTGAAAGAACAGGAAGAATATTGAGAATATTATATTTACCCTTTTTACCCGTCTCTCTCTCTCTTTCTCTCACTGATGAACATCTTTCACATTTCACACAAAGTGAAGTGTAGATATTATATATATATATATATATATAATATATCCAGTAAATCATAATTTGCGATAAAATAATATCAAGTTTTAAGCCAAAAAATTATCCAGTGAATCATTACTACAAAAACATTATATTACTATATTATATTTTTTTATACTATAATATATGTTATATTATTATATACTACTATTTTTATACATTACACTATTATTAAGAGCACATTATAAATAATTTACACTACATAAAAAAATAAAATCCAATAATAATAATAATAATAATGCATAAGATAGAATAAAGGCTTTGTTTACTGCCGATTATAATACATTATTTATAATTGTATATTTATATTTTATTGTATATTTATTTTATATTAACAAATAATTTAAATTTTCTAGAGAAAAATCTTCCCCAAAAACTCCCTTTCCGAAAAAGATATAAATAGGCAGTGATTCCCTCCTTCCTCCTAATTATTTTGGAACAAGCATTTTTATTCCCACTTAAAAAATAAAAAAGTTTTTACAAACGAAAAGTAAATACTTTTTTTTACTTCGTGTGTATTTTAACGAAAACATTAATTACATTAATTTCATCAATTTCATTAAACTTCAGTAATAAACTCGCCGCTTGTTTTATCATCAATCTTCTTTACTAATAATAAAAATTGTTATCATTTGATAATAATTGTACAAAATTTACCATCACATCTATCTATTATTACAACAACACCTTTTACCCCTCAACAACTTATAATAATAATAATAACAATGTCAGCAGCCATAATGGAATCTAATAATAACAATTTTTCAAATTGGCCAAAAAAGACTCGTGGTATTTGTAAACCGAAAACAACAAAAAATACTTCATTATCGATATCATGTACTTACATTATACCTTCAAATAATGATACATTTCTTAATCATCAAGAAATCATATCATCTCCTATACCATCGGGACATCTTGAAACATCAACTAGATTTTGGCAGTTTAGAGTTGAAGAAGGTCGAACAACTTATGTTCGTTATGGTAATATTCGAGCTGATGGTAGTTTTAAAGAAAGAGCAACTCATATTCAACAACATCTTAATTACGTGGATGCGAAAAAATTTGTGGAAAATTTAGTTGATGAAAAGATTAAAGCTGGTTATGTTGGTTGGGCACGTTGGTGATTTCATTATATATATATAATAATGATTTCATTATATATATAAAAAATAATAATAATTATCATCTTTATTGTTTTATAGTAATTTAGTTTTTTTTTTTTTATACATAGTTTTTCATTTTTTTCTACATTTTTTTTTTCATTTTTTTTCATTTTTTTCTTTTCTTTGTTTTTCTTTAATCAACCTTTTCACTTTCAAATATAATGAACGCGTTCAAAGCAAATCTTTTATATATATAATTTATATATATATGGTGGCCACATATATATATATATTATATATATATTCGAATTTTTTTTTAATTTTCCTTATCCCTCTTTACCTTACAAAATTTATTTTTGAAGAAAAAATCAACGCATTATAAAAACATTATTACACACGTTCAACAACGACACTCGAAATTTATTTACAAAAATATATATATATATATTTATGATATTCGACAAAAACAAAAAAAAATTATTTCTCTCTCTTCCATGAAAAAATTATAATATATCTGATATAATATGCAAAGTATGATTTGAATTCTTTTCTTTTCTCTTTATATAATAAATTCTTCTTAATATTCACACAACATTTTACGGAAACAATTACGAAAATTATATTATTATATTTATTAAGAAATTCCTCTTTTCTGAAAAAATAAAATAATTTAAAATAAACATTTTTACTGTTTATATATATATATATATTTAAAGAATTTAGTATTTAGTTCATAGTTTTCATAATATGTAAAAAAAAAATTAATTTTTTTTTTCTTTTATGTAGATATTTTTTATTAATTTTTTGATCTGACATCTTTTGTAAATACAAATATATGACTCAATAAAAAAAAAAAAAATTCATTTATCTCATTCTTCATATATTTTTCTCTCTCTTTTCTTTTTTCTTTTAGGCTTATTTTTTATTATTCTCTTTCATTTGTTTTTATGTGAAATAAATAAATAAATAAAGGTATTGAGTATTCCAACAACAAAGTAATACTCATCAAATATTCATTGTTTGTTCCGATTTTTTTTTTTTTTGTTTCAATTTGTTTCCGGTATTTTTTTTTTTTAAAAAAAATCAATTGTTGATAAATTAGTACTGAATGGGCTTGCGAGAATAAGATTAATTTATTGATTGGTTCAGCGCGTCTTTTCAATACATTTTCGATAATAAATAAGTATTAGATTAAAACTTTAATAAATAAGATTATGTACTCGCGAATTAAAAAAATACTCAGGTGATTCTTTTGTGTATTGCTGACTTTCACATGATAACATCATTAAGTTTGAAATTTGTATAAAATCTGCACACAATAATATCAGATATATATTTGTTTGTTATTATTTACTGTATACATTAAATTTTTTCATATAATAAATTTCTTCGATTGTTATCTCGAGTTTTCTTTAAACACTAGCACTTGGACGGACATATTCAAATCTTTTTATAGAAATAAATAAATAAAGTAATAACATAAACAATGCCAAAAACAATAATGAATGAAATATTGCCAAGTATTATTAATTAATTTCTTTTAAAAATATTTTTTTTTGTCATAACAAAAATAATAAACCTGAATAAAAACACTTGAAAAACTTTTTTTTTTTTCCTAAAAATTTCTTGATTCAGAAAATCCATTTCAAGCTTACGTAAGTAAAAAATCAGTTCACCTACAAAATTCCTTTGGCCTATTTTTTTTTTCTTTTTGTTGACCAATTCCTCTCCATGTATCAACTACTAAATAGAGTAATGATAATAAAAAGAAAAATCGTGTGATTTGTATGTAAGTGTATGCATGTAAGTGATAAAGTAAAATAAATACAATGTGTGACGAAAAAAAAGTTTTATTTAATTCTTTTCTTGGTGTCGTCGTTAATGTTTTTATTATTGATATATACATATAGTGAGATGATCAAAAGGTTTCTTTGTTGTTGGAATCTAAATACTTTAAAGATCTGGTTTACCTAATATACACATGACCTAATCTTCTGATTTTCATGCTCATTTCTAAATAATAATTATTTTAATTATAATAAATGCCCAAAAATGGCGTGTGAAGAATTAATAAACGCGAAAATAAATGGAAATAGAATGAAAATCGAAAAATTCCCCAAATTTAGTAATAAGTAAAACTGGAGTTGAAAATTTTTTTTTGATTTCCGATTCACTCAGCCAATAAAGTGTACACGTGTGATATAGTGATAGAGCGCGTGATATTATCGAGACATTAATTAACAATATCGGGATTTCGGAATTCAGATTTCAAAAATAATAATAAAAAAACTATTCCATTTAAGGGATCATAAAAAATATTCTCAAAGAAAATCCAAAATAGAAAAGAGTAAATTATTTAAGATTGTTGATTTATTTTTATAATGATTTATTTATTATTCGTGATGATCTCAACATTTTTTAAAAAAAAGTAGTTAGCATACAATTTTAATAATCATTAATTAATTGGTCACATGAGTAAAATTAAAATTCTTATCTTTACTACCATTAACCATTAATGTATTAGAAATATAAAATAATCTTCACTTCGGTGAAAGCCGGAATGAATTTATTAGAGTATACGTAATTCTCCTGTAGTAATATTTAAAATATTTAATGATAGATTTTTGGGTTAAAGAGTTTAATTTTTTAATATTTTAAAAGAAACTTATAACAGATAATAAAATTATACTATGATTTATGCAATAATAATTGTGCAATTGATAATACAAATGACTTAACGATGATTTATTTGGCGATTATTGGTCGATTTTAGAATAAGGCTAATCAGAAGACTAAAAAAAATAAACAAATAAAAATAAAAATGCAATAAAAAAAAATATAAAATAAGTAAAATTAGGGGGGAATTGTTTATATAGAATGATAAAAAGAATAGGATAAAGGAATAAAAGAGAGAGAGAAATAAAGAAAGGCGGGGAATAAAAAAGGCAGATATGAATGGTCGGATTAAGAATAGCCAATGATATTTATGTCAGTTGAGATACATATTGCATATTATTTACAATATTATTTTATATGTACGTACATATGTCGTACGTGTTTTCTCTGCATTTTTCTACGGGCGTTTGTGTTTTCATTGATTCTTCATTTATGTTTACTTTTTAAGTATTATGTGTTATAAAAAATTAACTTTCGAATTTCCATTATTTTATATAAAGTTACTATAAAAGTCATTATAATACTAAATAAGTTACCGTAAAAGTAAAAAAAAAAGTTTTCATCTGTTAGAGAATTTCTATTATCATAATATTATACATGATTGTTTACAAGATAATTCCTGTGATAATATTGGAACAATCTTTCGAAGTAAACAAAATTTTCTGTATTTTATGCACGAAAGAACCTTATGGTGGTAAGTTCAAGGTTGTAAATGGTGGTGGTAGAAAGCTATGGTAGAAAGTTGTGGTAGAAAGTTGAGGCAGTATAAATATCCAGATACATGTAAGCAAAGCTAATAAAAAAGATAAGAAAATAAATATACTGTTGATCAAATCGACAATAAAGCCGAAAACAAACTTGACAATAAGCGCTGACTAATCTACTAATCCACTAATCCGACAGCTTTAATAAATTTGTTAACAAAACACGTGTGCGTCTTCGCATGCATGGATAACAATTTTCTAATGAAGAAACCCCCCCAAAAAAATGAATAAAGAAATAATTATTTATTATATTTGCTACATTATCTTTAAATTTAGTAATCCAGTCATTCCATTGCATATATATACAAAATGTCTACACACAACGCTTTATAATTTCCGCAATCAAAATAGAACCAAATTAAAAAAAAAAAAGCCATATTTTCCCCCGTGCTTTTATGACATAATCTCGGAACACTATAAATATAAATTTAGAACTCTTTGTTCTTTTAATAAATAATTACGGTATATTCTCTTTGTATTCTCTTTATTTATTTTTTTATTGCAAACATAAAAAAATAATTTATTATTAATAAATAATTACGAAGTCATCTTACAACCGTAAAGTTAGATGTGATGTAATTTGATCTTTTGAAATGATAATTTTATCATTAGATGAGATCCAATGACACATGATTTTTGTGAATAACTAACCCTCACCACACGTGATAACAATGATATATCTTTATTTTTCAGATTCAAAATAAGGTAATAAATAAACTCATTGTGTCTCGGATAAAGTATTATCAAATAGTTAAAATGAGCTAATTTAGTTGAGTTGAAAAGAATTTGGTATAGTCTAAATGATTTTAAAAAGCACTTTCACATTTTATTTTGAAATTTCTTTTGTTGTAGATCTTTATTGTTCGACCATTATGGAAATTATGCCTATGAGTTCAAATGTTTGGTAAATATTATGGCGGGGGAATCATAATTAAAATAAATCAGATTTTCCTATGGAATATTTTTAATAATTTTTTAATTAATTGCGCCAAAAATATCAAATAAATATTTAATTGGAATTATTTAATCAGATAAATAAAAACAAATATAAATAAATAATAAGGTTGAACCTGGAATCATCCATGAACAATATGATTCAATGTTAACATTGAAATTAAGTTTTAAATCATTTATTATTTTAGTAATAAATAACAATAACAAATGTATGAATATTAATAACATTATATTATTCCCTTTTTTTTTTGACATCATTGTAAAAATCATAGCGAATATATTATTGAGAATAAGCATAAATTAAAATATAAAATATATGTTGAGCAAATTAAGAACTAAAATTCAAGTTCCCTGATCTTTTTTTTTCATTACAGAATGCGGGTCAATGCACCCCACAACAACAATAGTTTTGACATGAATTAAAACAAATTTTGTAGATGTGTAAATGTGTGAACGTGTGAAAGTGCGAAATGTGCGGGTTCTGTGAATTAATGCACATTTTTATTTGTGATATAAATAAATTACTATTCGACAACTTAGAAACCACCTGAGTGTACAAACTTAATTAAAATTTAAAGTGATACTTATTGTAGTTTTAATTTTTAAATTAAACACAATAATAATGACTCATTCATATTTTTAATCTAATCAAAAATCAAAATCTCTAACGCATTTGATTATTAATACATTTTACAGTAAGTGCCGTTATTTGTTTACCTTTTTTTTTAAAAAAAAAAGAAACAGTCATTTATGCAAGATAATCAAAAAATTTTTGGCATTCTTGTTGACTGTACCCTTCGCTAAATATTTTGTGTTATATAAACTGTTGGGTATGACTATCTTTTTATTTGTTTTGTTTTTTTTTTAAAAAAAAAAAATCAAAAGAATTATAATCACGCGGTTTGTCTTTGATTCATTATTCGGATTTTTTTTTTTGGAAAAACTTCATAGATGTTTATTATTGGCGGTTACCTTTTTTTATTCCTATTTGGGTTATTTGGCTGTAGGACAGTGATGAATGAGCCGCAACGTAGGTTCTGTTTCTTTAGAATAAATAAATAATTGAATAATTAATAATAAGGCTAGTCGAAAGCAAGCATCTCCAAGATATAAAAATATAATAAGAACTAGCAAGCAATTCAAGACTTATTGGGAAACATAATAGACCAAATTCAAAAACATATAAATTTGTTACTTCGGTTTAAATCTAAAAAAAAAAAAAATCGAATAAATCAGTTGCTAATATTTAAAATTTTTCCAAGATGCGAAATTATTTATGAAACTAGGAATGGTAATTATTTGTCAATTTAAGACATATTCGTTAAATTAAATGAGAACAGAAAGAAAGAGATATTTTACATTCAATTGAGAATTCACAACAAATCAATAATAGTCTTGGAAATATACTTTGTCACATATATCTTCACCGCAATCTTTGCTAGAAGATTGAGACTTGCGACATAAAAACAAGATTTTGCTCAAATGGTTTTCAACATCAGACAAAGTGATTGCGGACATGTTGAATGTAGCCATCCTATCATTGAGTTATTTTCAATTGTTACTGCGCTATATATAGCTCCTAAAGATGCAAATAGACAAATATAATGACATAACAGACCGGCTAGTACACATTCTTTACATTCTTTTTAACAGCCTTTTATGAACCAGTAATAGAATTGGATGGAAAAATATGCCTTTAGACCTATAACACATCAAATGCAATTGAATTACTAAAGATGGTACCGACCTATAATTAATTTCACAAGTCCTCAAATATTGTGGATTTTTTGAATGTAATTTCAATTATAGTTGTTGACTTAATTGTTTTTTGTATTTGCCGAAAATAATTTCGGCGGCCTTAATTATTTTCGGCGGCCTTAATTATTTTCGGTTGCCGTAATTAGTTCGGCTGCCTTAATTATTTTTTGCTGCCGTAATTATTTTTATATGCCGAAATTAATTATGGTATTCGCGTTTAAAGTCAAATGTCCGTGAAAACTTCTACAAAATTTTTGTAGAAGTTCTCACGGACGTTTGACTTTAAACACGAATATCTCGATGAAGATCGATGCTATAAAAATGAAACATATTTCATCTCGTAGCTAAGAACCAGGGCTTTCGATATATCATAGAAATATTATAGTAGAAAATTGCGTAAATCGCGAGCAAATTCAAAAAAAATAGATTTATATTTTAAAATTGAGGATCGAGATAACTAATAATTTCGGCAGTTATAATTAATTACGGCAGCCTAAAATAATTTCGGCAACCTAAAATATTTTCGGCTTTTGAAAATATATGCCGAAAATATTTTCGGCATTTCGGCATGCGTAATTTCGGTACAACTATAATTCAGGAGTTACGGCATTTCGGCCAGACCGTAATTATTACGGCACAGTAATATAAATTCCGTAATAATGCCGTAATAGCCGTAACTTTATCTATTGCCGTAATTTATAAAGCAGCTGCGCAACAATTAATTATGTCATATAATTTATATGTAACGTTATTTTTTTTTTTAATAAAATATTTTTACTAACTATTAGTAATAATAATAGTAATAATAAAAATAATAATATTTAATTACGGCTGTAAAGTTACGGCCATAATGTCGTAAAATAATTAAGGAATTACGGTTTTAAGGCAAACAATACGGCATGTAACCGTAAAAGTATAGTTGTGAACTTTTGTTCAGAAATTTTTGAACATTCAAAATTTCTCTTCACAATGATGGTTCTTTCCTCGATTGGACGATTTGCTTAAGTTTGTCAATATAAATTTTAGTACAACTCTGGATGGTGATATTTCAACAACCAGAGATTCTGTTAAAATAAATCATAACAAAAATCAGTAATAATCAAAAATAAGACAAAACATTTTATTAAATCAATGGTCATTGCTAAGTCAATGTAAAGTACATATACAATGATACTTTTTCATTCTTAATTTTGTATAATAATGTCTTGATTTGGATAATAAAAAAAGGTTTAACTAATAATTATGAAGAGTAATCAAACTTTCTATCCCTTTAAATTCTACCATATGCACTAGTAAGATAAACGGGAAGCCAAGAAAAACCGCGCCTGTTAGTTCTAAAGCTCTCCCAGTTGGTAGTAACATTTACGTATCGTAATGGTATTCGCATTCAAAATCTATAGTTGACAGGAAAGTATCTTTTACTCACAAAATTACAAAATTTCAAAGATTATATTCAAAAATCAAAGGTTGAAACCTTTTCAATGTCAAAAACGAAACAAATAGATAAATTCTCAATAAATCTTAAGAATGAATAATTTCTTTTTACTACCAAATGTTCAGACAAGAACTTATTTATTGTTATTGAATCATCTAAAGGTATGATATGTTGTAATCGGATTAAAGCTGAGATGTTGTCGATTGACCAGAATTATCAAAACGGCCAGATTTATTAAACTGTAGATCCTTTAAAATTATTTTAAGATACAAAAACATTTATTTTATGATTTATTTTGCATAGAACGTAATATTCTGGAGTATTATGCCTTATAAAATTTTCTGATGTATATTAAAATAAAATAAAAAATATCTAAAAAATGAAATTTAATTTAGTTTATAAAATTATCAAATTGAAGAAAAATTAAATAAAGACCAATGACAGATTGGATTTCTTGAAGTAATAAAATATTTCAAATAGAAAACGAATAGGTAAAAATATAAGAAAATTATGTGATAATCAATAAAATAGATGAGCCATTTTAACTTTTTTCTAAACTTTATTATTGATAAATCAGTAATACATATACATTAAAGATCTACAACTAAAGACAATTGTGAATCGTAAATTATCATACTTATTACATGTACGTGTATCTCAATTATTACAGATTTTGCAATCAAAAATTTGCAATTCTACAAGTTACAATTATCAAGTTCCAATTAATTTACAAGTCTTTAAAATTAATCTACAAATATACAAATTTAAATAAAAATTTTATCTATTAATTTTAAATGAAACAAATTACCTTGATGAGTTTTGAATTGTACGGAAATTGCTCAAATAAAATCCAAGACCGATAGTAAATTAATGTTGTAATAATTAATTTTGTTTGTTATTAAGATTCAAAAAGAAATAACTATATCCGTTACAGTTTCTTTTTAGGAAAACAATTTTCTATGAAAATTTCTGAACAAAACCTGATGATGGAATACTCAACAATTTAGTGGTATCCCTGACAAAAATTTGCACAATTATTCAATAAGCCCAAAGCCAACCTTTAATTTGGATACATTTAAGTTACACGGAACTTTCGAAAAACATTAATAACTCCAATTTTGGGTTTCAATGGCAGTTAAATTTATTGTTTTACAATAAAAATATTAATCCTAATTTCGACAGTGGGTTGTGTGTTATTTTTTGTTTTAAAGACCAATCCGTATATTATAATGAATGAAATAAATCAATACCATCACTACATACCAAGATTTATTCTACGGAACTTTGCTATTGACAATTGTGAGAGAGTATTTGTGGGTAGTAAGAAGATATTTAATCAGCACCGAAAATTTTGGCTAAAGAAAAGAAAAGGAGAACTTCTCCAAACTTATTATAGGGCTGAAAATGGACTGGGGTTCTCTAAAATTTCAAAAACCTATGGATACGAAAATATGTACAAAGATCTTAATCATGAAGACGCTGAGCATGTGGAAAAAAAACTAGCAAATCTTGAAGGGCAATCATCAAAAGTTATCAGAGATATTATCGAGGCATCCAAAGGAAAAAGTGATGTCATGTTGCTCAGGAAAGACCTTCAAGATCTACGCAAGTTCCTCTTCATTATGAACTATCGAAAACTCCATCGGCGGAATCAGTTTGCTAACAAAATTTTTGACCCTCCCACCTTGAATATGGTAGAAAATTTTATGAAGGAGCGTAATTTACAAAGTACTCGAGAAGTGTGGTTACAGAACGTCCGTGAAATACTAGAGACCCCGCATGAAGATGTCCCAGATAACCCGCGAATCTTTAGTTTAGATAGGTCAGATTACAAAACACGTATGATCGACTGTTTCCTCGCAATTTGGCAAGCTGGTGAAAATGATGAGTTGTAATGACCAGTAATGCATTTGGAATCTTTGAAGGAGTGAATGGGACGATATGTGGATTCCCATTTCAATTTGCCTTCCATTTTTTTATGTCATTTCTCCAAAGCTAATGTTGGTCCTCTGCCATTCTAGTTTCCGAAAAGAAATTGGACTTGATGCAGTACGCACAGTTATAGGACCTGGACGTCATTCAATATTTGAATATGTTCCCCATCCACCAGCAACTCCAGAATATGTTAATAATGTATTTGATGATTCATTTAAAACACAACTGGATGATAAATTTACTTTTCACTTTGTTAAAATTAATTCAGCCACTGTTCATCTTGTAAATGCTTTCATACTCAATGAGGCAAATCCAGACTTAGTTCTGTCATACCTTTCTCCTTCATATCTCTACAAAACGATTGTCAAGTATCATAAAAGTATAAATAAGCTTGGTGAAATTCAGGATTTCTCAAGTATGAAAAAGACTTTGTTCACGGCATTAAACAAAACCCATAAGGAAGACTTGAGTCTCCGGAAAAGCATTCCAAGAGGCCGCACACGTATTTGGCATGAATTTAAGATGGTTACAGTTACAGAATCTTGATTGCATGTTGAGGTATATTGTTCTTGCTTCATCTCACTTTCTTTTATCAAAGGCTTATAAGATATGTGAAAATGCCTCGTGACATGATATTGTTTTATGTTTTTATTGCATATATAAGTGAATTATACAATAGTATTAAAGTTTCTTTGGAATTACAATTTCATTAAATATCATTTTTCTTGAATAATAACTTTCTTATCAATTATCAATTATAAATTATACAGAATGTTATTAATGTATCTGATGCTCTTCTTCGGTTGTATAACTTTCAAATTCACGGTTATCCTCGTTCTATATTCACTTGAATTTGAACAAAAAATTTTAAAATTTCACAATTTTCATAATCTGAATTATCTGAATTCGAAAATTCGGATTTCCATCTCAATAAGAAATTTAGAACGAAATTTTATCTAAGTGCTATATTTAAAATTAGAGAATAAACATCAGAAGTTGGATAACGTATAAAATATTTATATAATAAAATATTATGATGTTACTTTAAATTGAATCTTAAGTTATTTTTGATTTCCCGAAAAATTGATTTTAGTATACAATAAATTGGCTCTTATGGTATTAGAGGAGACAAGTTTATAAAGTTTATTACTGAGAGAATAAGGAATTTGACATTATTATGCTTAAAAACGCGTCAATATGTCTCCGTTTGGTCAAAACGCGAAAATAATCATGCTTCTGATTGGTCAAAACGCGTGAAATATATTTTTTTTTATCCGAGAAATTTCTCTTTTCAATCCTTTTAACACAGTTGTCTTTTGGTTCCCTTTAGTAATAGTATTACTGTCCTTCTTTTTACAATATGCCGTGGATTTGTCTGTGTCCATCTACTAATTCTACATGAATTTGTTTACATCCAGCTTCTGCGATTTCTAATATTACTTAATTACTTCTGCTCAAAGTTTCTTATATTCTTTTTCTACTACTTTTGCTATTACTAACTTCACGCTTCCGTGACTTTGAATACCATTTCTATGACTTTAATAGTTCTGGTTATACTTATAAATATAATACATGCAGTGTTATTATAACCAAAAATTTCTTTCATTTTTTTTTTATTCTTTATTATTATTATTGTTATTACTATAAATGTATTATTATGTATTATACTTAATATTAAATAAGATAGAAATGTATTTTGAATGGTCTATGGTTAATTCCAAAAGAATTGTAATCCTCTAGAGGAAGTCATCCAAAGGGAAATGTTATATAATTAAACTTATATATAAAGGTCTGAAGATAGAATAACAGAAACAAATCCTAAAAGTTTTTAAAACAAAAATTGTCTTTTAAAAATAAAACAAAATTGTATCTTCCTATCTTTATATATTGTTCCCTTTGCCAAGTATTATAATTATAATTCTTTTAATACTTTTAAATTCAATCACTTACCTTCAGCAGTTAGATTGATACTGGTTTAGTTTTATATTTAGGTTTACCTAAGTTTAGTCTATTCTGTCTTCATCGTTATTATACATATAGTGATGTCTTTGATACTGCAAAACAAGTCAGTTCAAATATTTTATCTCCTAACAATGAGTCTGGAAACAAGTATTTATTATTTTAGTCTAGATTTTAATTTTCACGAATATAATTTATCACTTTTATTGTTTTTAGAAGACTCCTGAACCTTGAGATAAGCACATTGAGACAAAAAAACCAAAAGGAACATGCTACTTTGAGAATTGAGAAGAAGCGTAATTTATTAGTGACTGCAAACTAAGAAGCCATAAAAAATAATGGTTATAAGGCAGGAATCGTAAAAAAATAAATGGGTGCCCTTAATCAATCCAAAATACAACTATTCCTGCCATTTTTAATTCTAGTTTCTATCAACTTTATTTTTAACTTTACAATATTTACTTATTTGTTTCTCTTTTGCAGGAATTGTTGAATCTAAGGCAAATGATGAATTATATGATTTTCTTATGAGGTTCGGCGATTCTTTCAATAGCATTATTTTACTGAAATTGATTTCTTTTTTTTTGTAGGGCTAATTAACATTAATAAATATTTTAATGAATTGTGAACAAATTTCAAGTCCATTCAAAAATTGATGATTAATGCTTTAATAATGTAATTGGATATTCTCGTATTGATTTAGTAATGTATTTAATTTTAATATTATACATCCTTTTTTCAAATGTGAGAAAGAATAGAAAACAAGACCGTTCTTGGTATTGGATACTTCTTGGACAGAAAGGAAAAGACACCGCAAAAATCAACTAAATCAATTGACTTAATTTCAAATTGTACAAAGTTATTTCTTAATGTCTCATTATATGTATTCAGAATCACTGTTGCAGGAATCAATGACATGATAATCTTCTATTATTATCCAATTTTGCGTTAAAGTCATACTATGTAAGTAGTTTACATCTTGGCTTATGCAAATTATTATTATTCATACGCGGATTTGATTTCATTGTAAACAAAGAAAATCTATTGCATAATTGTATTAACCCTCTATTAATAACAATTCCTCGTCCTTCGAGTATTACAATGGATCTTTTTACATTTTGCATTTTCTCTGATTTTTTGATCAATGTATGTTTATAATATTTATTATGAGACTTAATTTAGAGATTTTGAAAGAATTTCTGACAAACTTATTCAGGGATGGTAAATGACTGAGTCATTTGATCATTTCCTCCTACGTGTTAAAAATGGTCATTTCGCATGACAGATATTTTATATGAAATGTTGTTACTATGAATGAAATAAAAAATAATAATATGAGCAAAGAGACACATAATTTTAGGGAGCAGCAAAAATGATAAAATTAATTGTTTTGTATTCAAAAATTAACTTCTCGTGATTTCGAAAACTAGTTTCATAATCTTATTTGTATCTCTAAGTAAAATTGTTCAACATATTTAGGAGAATCTATGTTTAAATTTTCATGCAGATTGAGCAAATATTCATGAAAAAATTATTGTTTTTTTAAAAATAGATTAAATCGTTAATTTCTGCAAATATTTGTTCATTTCGCTTGAAATTTTAACTGTACATTCTCCTAAATGCATTTAATATGTTTACTTAGAAACATAAATAAGTTTACGATTAAAATTATTGACTCTATATTTAGACTCATGGTCTAATAAGTTTATATTCCATTAATAAAAAATTTTTTGCCTTAATTGATAGCTTCAAATTTTACTTTAAAGTTTTAAATTAATACCAAATTTACAATATAAATAACACAAATATAATTGGTCAATTAACACTCGGTATAATTAGATTGTAATAAAGATAAAATGAAACTTGTTCAATAAATAAAGTGTTGGAAGAGAAAAATTTAATATAAAAACAGCGATATTTTGCTTATCTCAAATAATTCATTCTGTTCTTCGAAAATATAAATCTTTACGTTAAAATGATTCAAAAAAGTGCAATTTTTGCTGCCATCTTAATCTCTCGTGATAAATTCATCCCGTCATCAATATATTTACAGCAGAGCGCTTACATTCATTCCCATCTAAGTGCAATAAAATATTTACAGCGGAGTGCGTACGTTCATTCCCACCTAAGTGCAATAAAATATTTACAGCGGAGTGCGTACATTCATTCCCACCTAAGTGCAATAAAGGGAATTTCATTTTATAGAACGCTTCCGATCGTATGATAATAATGGATTTCTCAGTTACGAAAATAAATACATTGGATGAACTTTTAAAGAAGCGAATATGCACCATTTGGATCTGACACATGATTTAACTATTGATGATGTTGAAGAAGTTCTTAAAATCTTTTGTAAACTTATTATTATAAGGGTGTTAAATAGATCGAAAAAAAATGTAGAATAATTTTATTATTATTATTCATGTAATTTAAGATAATAATCAAATATTCAATGTAATAAAATTTGACTCAATGAAGTTATGTATGATGTATCGCTTTTATTAACGCGAGAAATAATATTTTCGAATGACCATATATGAATGTTTTTATTGATCCTTTTTAAAAAAAAATAATACATCGTTATTATTAGTTTATTCAACTTTTTTCTTTAGGTAACTTGTTATAAGAAATTTTCTAGATCATAATTTCGTTTTTTATTTAATTGATTTTTTTTTTTAACCAACGGAGCCTCACTCCAAGATATTTATTATTTTGAAAAATAAATTTACAATTTATGAAACAATTAATTATATAGAGGAGTTTGCTAAAATTAAATTAATAATTTAAGGCACGGCCCATCGATTTTTTGTTTAATTGCTTTTTTTTTTATATTAAGAGAATTTTCTAATTCAATAAGTTCTTAGACAAATACTAAATGGTAAATAAATGTTAGTATTAACGTATTGTAAAATGTAAGCAACAATGATTAAGTGGGTTACAACCTTCCATCATAATGTTTGCTTTTTAAAAATGAACTGCAAGTGTTTAATTGTTGAATACAAATAATCTGCATTGCAACTATTTACAATCCTGCAATTTACAAATTTTACAAATATTTACAAATATTTATCTTTGATGAGTTGAAGCATAAGAATCGCTCAAATCATTCGCAGTTACACTTCATACTTCAATTTTCGATCTTTAATAATCTTTATTAAAAATCATTACATACAAAATTATTATCTTTACCCATTGTATATTTTAAAAATTTTATTGAATTTTGTGATATTTCACTAATTAAAATTACTAGAAATTACTGGTTATATTGTTAAACCATTTACCATTGTTTACATTTATCTTGTTAATATTATTATTTTAACGTTCATTATTTGTATTACAATTATTAATTTTTTTTTTTTTGAACAAGTGTATAATTCACATGAATTTAATGCAAAAAATTCCTTATCATCAATAAAAATATGTAATAATTATGCAGCATGTTATAATTACTAACAATTTTTCCAAAATTAAGTTCTTACATTATTGCATTATCTAATATTGTGTTCTAATATCTCGCGAATAATTATTTTCTTTCTGGTAAATAATACCAAAATAAGCGAATTATCATTATATTCGACAAAAATCTTTACCATATGAAACTTCAAATAGAATGAAAATTAATCTGGGGAAGCTCAATGTAAAAATTCTGCATAACATCATAATTTTCTAAGATATTTTCGTAACGAAGAAATTCTTATCAATCTCTTTGCAATCACAAGATCTCATATGACATGTAACTTTATTCAGAAGTTGTACAGATGCAGCAATTCATGTATGATAATAAATGAAAAAAATAAAAGTAAATTTGAACAAATCTTCCTGCTGCATAACGGGAAGAATGAAGTGTAACGTTTACATTTTTCAAATTTGTGGTTTGTAAGGAATTATTTGTTTTATTTTACAAACGGTATCTTGACATTTCTGGCTCCAGATGATGTTTATGATGTCAAAAAAAATAAATTATTTCCTAGGTCGGCGAATATCTTTTTTGTGTATGAAAATTATATAATTTTGTAAAATTTGCTCGCGTAAGCTTGCTCAAATGAAGTGGGAGAGAAAAAATGGATGAAGTAAAGGACGTTGTAAGGGTTTAGGGAGTTAATCCAGAATAAGTCATATCCGACAAAAAAATTCCAAGTCGGTCAAGGTTGTGAGACATTCCATTTTTAACTAATCTTATAATAAGAAAGCTCCGCGTTGTTCCCATAAAATTTGACACAAAAAATATTTTTATGCATTTTACACCACAGATTTGTCTTATTTATCTTATTTATCAATGAGTCATACAGATACAGTACAGTTTACAGATACAGTACCGTTTATAATAAGAAATCCTTTCTTGGACAAATTGATATTCAACGGTTAAGCCATTTTTGTAAAAGTACCCCAAACGATATTAAAAAGAACCCCAAACGATATCTTCAATAAAAGAGGTACCGTCTTATCAGTAAAATCAAAAAAAAAAATGCTTAATCATTCAAGGAGATAAATATCGTGTTACTGAATACAATTGCAAAAATGGTCAGGGCACTTTAATAATAATACTAAATAATGCATCCTTTATCACGATGTCAATCAATAATAATTAAAGAAAGGAATCATTGAGATTTGTTTAACTGTGAAAAAGCAAAGGATAAACAATAATTTTATGAACGCATTGTATTGGAACACAATACCTGCAGTAAACAACACCAAAAAAAATAAAAAAAAAAATGAATAATAAAGCGCACCAGTAGAATTGATTAGAAAAATTGAAATAATTAAATTGTGTGACGACATTCAAAGGAAAAAGATTAGTTAGAGAATGTGGTGTCAGCTGTTATTTCGGGGATTTTTTTTTTTTTTTTTTTTTCGAAAATCTGTAAAATCTGTGCGGTTTTTTTGGTTAGGATTGGATCATTATAATTCAATAACAAATTACTATAATTTTTCTCGCATCTGTCATTCACTACACTGTTGATTACACTCACAACAGATGTCATGCACTCTTCTTTTCTTCTAGGAAGAATTTTCGATCAAAATTCCAGGCCACGCAAAATAATTTATTATTAATTATTTATTCATATTTTTCATATTAAATTTTTACCAAAGTTATTATATTTTATTATTACCATTCTATTTTTATGTTATTTTATGTTATTTTTGCCTCATTCAAACTATAAATACAATAAAAATTAATTTGTTAATAATAAAATACAACTATAAATGTTTTTGATAAACATTAATTTCTGGAGGAGGCTAAGCTAAATTTTTTTTTTTTTTGCCTTTTGGACCAATCAAGATTTGACAAGATATAAGCAAATTAACCTTGAAATACTTCAGGGATCAATTTATCCGTCGTGTCATATAACATTACAACCTCCTAAATTTAGATTTTGGAAATTAGGATCATATGCTTTTCATACTTACCAAAAGCTCCGATATGAAAATCTTTTTTATTACCCTCTTTCGTATAATTATATAATTTTTGGAATTTATTGAGAATTTTTGAATTTGCAGTAAAATCTTAACAAGGAAATGGATCCTGGAAGAATATTTTTAATACAAAGAAAATTAACTTTGCCGCCCTCGGATGACACAATCAAATGATTCAAATGAAGCAGATCAATATTGTTCTTTTATTTACCCCAGATTTTATTTCTTTATTTCTTTTGAAACATTGTATAACGTCAAAAAAATAATATCAAAATATCAAAGATCAATTAACTCAAGTTTGTTGACAGGTTTTTTTTTTGTAAATTCGGGGATCTTATTGTCAACCCTAATGTGACTTTTCTTTTAATTCCTTAGTTCAATGTTCCCAATTTATTTTAAAAATAAATAACAAAATGGTGGCTATGTTACATTGGTGCAACTTAAATATTCATTTATCTTGACATCTTTTAATAATAAACAATATTGGGGGAGTTTTTGATGTACTGAAATTCATAAATTTATATTTTATCATTATAGTATAATCCATTATACAGTATACTACATAAACATCTTGTTTTACCTTTTTTTTTACTTTTTTTATTCGAATTATATTAATTATATTGCGTGAGACAACAGATTTTATTTGAAACGAATTTAACTTTTTTTTTTTTTTAAACTACTCCCAAACTTGTTGACAATCTGACCAAATGAAGAGAAGATTACGGGTTCCGCCATCTGCATATATTATAAACCAAAGAATTTATCAACTGGGTTGTATAGTCCCTAAATCATTTAAAAACCCCATTTTTTCATTTTTAAATCACCGTGCCACCCCCTCATAAACTAAAAAAAAAACCGGGACAATTAAACTCTGCACAGCAACAAAAACTACACTTTAATCCGCTTACCAGTACATCCAGTACATTTGTAAACAGATAGACAAATTTTCGAGAACTTTATTACCTCTGGTCGATTTCATACTAATGGCTAACAACAATAATAGTCAACCTGCCTCTAATAAGGAAACATTAAACTCTCAACCTATTCAATATAACAACATTGGAATGCCTTTACCTAGTCAACTAGAAAAATTAGAGGTTGGTATTTATTATAAAAATAGGTTATCGAAAACAATTTCATCATTATTTGTAAGTTATCTGTCGAATATCGATAATGATAAATGAATAATCTTTCTATGAAATGATTATAAAAAAAAAATCGATAATTATTTCGATTTTGATTTACCAAATCGATGAAATCCAGCCATTTATTAAAAGTTATAAAATAATTAAATAATCAAATTTCTAACAAATTTTTTAATTTTGATAATAAGGCTGAATTTGATAAAAAAGCGAAAAAAGTTATCAAACGAAAACCACTAGAAAACGAAAAGGAAAAATTTGAAACGGGTAAAATGAATAGAAACAAAGAAATCGAAAAGGAAAAATTAGAATCGGGCAAAGTGAGTAGAAACAAAGAAATTCCATCCAAACATTCAAGCTTCCGAAACATTCAAGTTTCCCAAACGTTGAGCCTCAGGGTGTGAATCTTACCGATTACACTGTATTTGATTTATTATTAATAGAAAAAGTTAAAAAGTCTTCTCGAACATTATGACTCAAAAGCCAAATACGAAGAAGGACTAGAAAGAGATGTATCAAAACTTCAGGGTAAAATTCAAAATATGTTAAACAAATATGTAAAGGTATGCATTTTATTTCTTTTTATATACGCGATGATTATTGATTCTTTTCTGCGCTACATGTATTTATTATTTATTTCTTTTTCTCTCATTCAATAGTCACCATCACCTCAACCTACTACACCGTCACCACCAGAACCGTCAGTTGTAAACCAATACAGCAATTATTTCATAATTTTATGGAATAATTTAATATCGATTATCGTTTCCCCATTCATACTTTTAAAGAAAGCACTTGAAAAATGTTATTACAATATAAATTGGACAATACTATTATCCCTAATATTGATAATAGAGTTTGCTGTTATTGGACTTATTTGGACGTAAGTTTATTTTTAATTTTTTTTTTTTAAAAAAAAAAAAAAAAAAAATACTCGTGTTTATTTATTTATATAATTTTTTATCTTATTTTCTTATATCATTTTATTTTTCTTGTCAACAGAGTAAAAAGATCGCATCATACACACTTGTACGCTGAACCGTACGAGGCTGTAGTACATGGAACCTTTGGAGTAGACGAAACATCATGGAATATATTGGGATCTATAATATCATCGATACAGGATTTCTTCGCAGAAATGATGAACGGAGGTCGCGGGTTCGGCAGTCCGGGTTATGATGGATTCGTACCGATATGACTTATACGAACAATTGTTATCAAACAGTAATAATTAATAATTTAACCTTACCTTTTCCTCTCTGTTTATTTTCCGTTTATTTCCTCATTTATTTTCCTTGTTTATCTTCCTTCCCGTTGAATTCTGATATTTTTTATTAGAAAAAAAGAGAGATGTCCAAATTGCATTATTGTAAACAAGGGTAACACATAGTTATACACGTTTAGACTTGTATCTTTTTTTTTCACTTGTAAATATTTTTGTCATTTTTGGATCCCTTTTTTTGTTTAATATTTTTTCTTTGTATTTTTTTTTTAGAATGTTATTTTATTTTATTTTTTTTTTAATTTTGTACACTTCATACAATTCATAAACTCACATTTTTGCATTTAGTTCACACTTTCGCATATAAAATAATACACATTTCAACCTTTTTTATGTACACTACTTTTTTTTCTTTATTATACATTCTTGTTCTTGTCACATTTTGTTCTTGTCACACTCATGTCACACTCTTGTCACATTGATTTTTTCGATTCGGTATTAAACAATAAAATTTGAAATTTTGTAAAAGGATCTATTTATAAATTAAATAGTTCCTTATAAATTCGTGCGATTTCAAGATTTCAAGTAATATGTCTTTAAATTGATTATGTATCATGTCTTCTAATGAATCGGAGACTCTTCTCGGTTAAAAATCATACTTAATCAATAATTTGTCAATTTTAATAAAATTAAATTTACGTTGATTAACTTAAATTATCTTATCGCGTAATTTGAATAAAACCATCGATCGAAACTTTAAAATCAACAAACATTCATATTGACATTATAAACCTTTGCCACGCTCTGTACACGTGCGTGCAATGCGCAAACTATTTATTTTATAGCCTCTTTGGGTAAATTTCACTTCTTTTTGACCTCTTTGGTAAGTTAATTATATTATTTACCATAACGATAAGATTATTCAGTGTCACAATTCTATAATCGTTAAGTAATCTTAAAGTTAATTCTAAATCGTTAAAAATCTATATTTAGTATTTATTTCAAAACGACACATTTTCGTTATATCAAATCCGTCAACGTTAATTTATGCAGATGACAAATTATAGTTTACAAATAGATGCATATATATCATCATTTAAACGTCATAAGCGTGAATGTCATAAGCGTGAAAGTGCGGAGTGTGTGGAGTGTGGAGGAAATATTTGTTTCCAAATAGATCTTCAACTTTATTATGTTAATTGTTTTGCTCATCATTATTTAAAAAGAACGAATTATCTGTGATTTTAGAGAAAACAAACAAATAAACATTATTTTAATTTCTCAATCAATCAACTACAATATAGTTCAATATAGTTCGGGACAATTACATTCTAATAATCAGCAAAGAACATATTCAAGTTATAGTTCTCTCTAATCAATTAATAAATTAATTTAGTAATAGTATTGTTGTAAATTTTTATTTTAATAATGGACTCCTTGAAAATCACAAAAAAATAAGAACATAATGAATTTTGGTAATTTATTTCAATGGATTTCTTTTTTTATTGAGTTCAATAATACTTTTTAAACTTAAATGTTAGTAACAATTGTTTAAAGTTTTATATTTTCTTACTGATAAACAGATTATATAAATGCTTCGTTTTGTTGTTTATTTTTAGAATTTCTTTTTATAATTATATAATCAATTTGAACATTGCTCTTTAAATGTGTGGTCACAAAATAAGAAAACAGTAAAGAAGTCAAATGACCACTTAAAAATAATACTTACATATAATACGTTCTTTTTTTTTTTGAGGTGCGTAAAGGGAAAACAAGGTTCAAATTTAGGGCGGCTTTTTTTCACCTTATTTGGTATCATAAATCCATGAGGACTATTTTTGTGCGAATCTGGAATTGATTTACTGAATGCTTGTTGTAATCTTTGTAATCTTTAATTAGCAAAAAATTTTATTCGACAAATAAGGACACTTTACTGCCTTTATCTTCATTCTTATTTTTTTTATCTTATCAGTTGTTTATTATTAAAACCAAACGGAAAATAAAGTCACGTGTTTATAAATAAATGTTTTTTTTATTGTTGTAAAATAGAAAGTTTACTTGCTAATACATTTATTTTTAACTCCATACAAGACAAATGTTAGGTAAATATTCAAAAGAATAACAGATTGAAGAAGTTATCAATGGTTTTGATACAAATTCTCTTGGATAATTTGAAAATTCAACATGAAATAGATAAATAGAGAACTTAAAAAATTTCACAAAATCCAAAATGAGTTATCCGTTCTTACAGATTTAGTCGAAATAGGTATTTTAAAAAATAAATAACCTGTATCTAGACACGAAATTTTTTCAAATATAGTACACTGTCCAAAGTAATTACTACAAATATGAATTGCTTGTAAGTATATTTTTTAGGGAAAAATTAAATTAACATTTTTTTAATAGCGATGTGCACTTGGAATAAAATTTGTATCTTTCAGTATTTATTTTTAAATACAATAATTTAAATAAATATTACTATTTCAAAAAAAAAATTTATTTATTCGAGACTTAATTTCTATTTTTTATTTATAATTTCCGGATGAAATTGTAATACATATATTTCCTGCAGATATAAGCAAAACCCGAAGGGATATCCCTCAAGCACCATTAACATCTCTATCTATTTTTTATATTGCAATAAATCTTGCATTTATATGTTTCTGATCTTCCAACGTTCTGACTTTTCTATACCAACTACATATCTTTGATGTGTAAGCTTCATTTTGAATTGTCACATGGTTTCCTTTCTCTTCTGCTTTTGAAATTAATCATTGTCAAAACTTGTAATGAGACCAATAAAGTATCTTTCTAACTATTTTCCTTGTTATCTTTCATGTTTTTCTGTTCACCATATCTGAAATCTCAAAAGGAAGATAAAAATTATATCAAATTCATCAGTTAAGAACTTAATTGTTTTTTGATGAATTTTATTCTAATCTTTTATCACATACAAAGATGGCTTTGTTGGTATGTAGTGCTTTTTTCATTTTTCATTTTGATATTGAAAAAACCAGTCTATCTTTTTTTGATATAAACAAAAGATATACCCTATATAAAAAGATGGTACCTGTAATTATGAATTAAGGAGGATTTCAATAGTAAAAAATTTGCAATTTTCACAATTCACAATTCACAATTATCCGCAAGTCCACAATTGTTTCACAAGTCTACAATTGTTCTGCAACTGTTTCACAAGTTCACAATTATTCTACAAGTCTAAAATTATTTTTATAAAAAATTTCTTGATTTTAATCAAAAATAAACTAATTGTTTTTAGTTAATAACTATTCAATTTTAATGAAACAACTATCAAAATGTTTATCTCAATGAGAAGAATTGAATAAGCTATAGGTTCTAAAAATTAAATTACAGTTTATAGAAATAACTTTATTTAATTAATTGAATTTTAATTATTAATTAAATAAACTGTTTTTTAATAACTTAACATTAACACTGGTCAAATATAAAAGAATCATTGTACCAAATGATAATTCCTATATTAAAAATTGAAATTCCTATACTATAGATTAGCTAAAAATCAGTAAAAATTAACTGTTCTATTGCATCCTATATTATAAATCAGAATTTTTTTTTAATATAACATATCTTTTATATTTGACCTGTATAAGATTATCTGATGAAACCTATTTTACAATTTGATAAAAAGTAAAACCTATGTTTTTTCAAAATTTTAACTATAATTTAATATAGTTTCACTGGTTATATGTATTTATTATAGTTTTGACTTTTGATAAGTTGTATCTAATTTATTAATAAGTATTTAATAAGGTTTCATTAAAGTTTTACCTTTTGCCAATTTTTCAAGTTAACAAAATTTAGAGTTTTCACCTAGCAAGATTACTTAATATAAAAATATTTAATTGAGATGAAAAAATATCATTTTGAAGTTAAAAATATGAAGATTTCAAAAATAGAAATATTATTACACAAAAGTTTACAATTAATTGTGGAATTATGAATTTGTATATAATTCTATTTAAAAAATTTACAATATTAAGTATATTATTTTTAATCTTATATTAAATTTTTTCATTTTATCTGTATGAAGAATATCATAAAAAAAAACTCTTTCCAAAACAAATAATTTTGCAACAAAACTGCAGTAAAAATTTTTTCTGTCGAAAATAGTTTTTAAATTTTTATTTTTATTTTATTTTATCAAAATTTCAGTCATTTGTCCTTTAATAATAAACGGACACACTCTATAATATGAGCGTTAGCTCAAATACCAGGGGCAAAAAAAGCAAGAACAACTCAGTCCTGAAGCCAAATGTTATTGGCGAAGTTAAATTTAACCCAACAATGAAAAAGGCAAAACCAGATAAGAAAAGTAACAACAAGAGAAATAATATGCCAATGGAAGAAGCAAATGCTGAAGCTTCAGGAAGTAAGATAAACCCACAGATAGT